GGACAAATGAACATCTAGTACATGAACATCTAGAAATCTAAGTCTTTTGAAATTGAACACCCTGAACCAGTATGCTAACACTAGCCACACGACCTTCCCCAGAGGGCACTACAGCACAGGACAGAAAAAGGAATGTTCTTCCTTCCCACAGGGAGAGGAGTAAGTGCTGTGTGCTAGGCCCAGAGACCCACTGCCTTTCATCCAGCTCAACTGGGCACAACTTGCTTTCTTTACAAGCTGGGTGAAAGGTTACCAAGGTATAGTGCTTTTGCTCACTCTTAAAGCATCATAGTGAGAATGATACTTTTATAAGGGAGAAATGAGGAATCTTCCCACTTCTACCAAGAAGTAAATGGCTTTTCTCTTTCCTTCCATTGTTTGATTTGAGACAGGGTCTCTCTATGTTGCTTTGGCTGTCCTGGAACCCACTATGTAGACCAGGTGGCCTTTAAAGAAATCCACCTGTCTCTGCCTACCCAGTGCTGGCTCAAGCCACCACTCTGTCTAGGTCTTCCTTTTTCTAAGAACTACAGCCTCCTGACAACATCAACAGAGGTCCATAGCACCTCTTACAGAGTGTTCTTACATTAAAAAAAAAAAAAAATTGTATGAATTTAATTGCTCCAAATTTGGGAGACACTGGGGTCAGTCATGGAAACAACACAGACCCCTAAGGAAACACCCAGAGAGGTGCAGAATGTGCACATTCTACATAACTCCTAGCCAGGGCTCTTCCAAAGGCCAGTGTCATTCAAAACTAAAAAAACGCACCCGTGCGTGCCTGCTTCAAGAAGTAACACTGAATTAAAAATATAAGCAGTGGAGATGGAGACAAGAAGCAGAACATTAATTAGCCTATCATGGTGAGGCCCAGGTTCATTCTCAGTACTGCAACAGCAAAGCCCAAACCAAACACAATGTATGGCCCTCTGTTGAGTCAACTTTTTAAAACCCCAGCTATAAAGCATATGGCATTTGGAAAAATGAAAACATGCAGCGGATAATATGAAGGTTTTTGTTTTGTTTTGTTTTGTTTTCTTCCAGACAGGGTTTCTATATGTAGCCCTGGGTGTTCTGGAACTCCCTCTGTAGACCAGGCTGGCCTTGAACTCAGAGATTATGGAGTTATTAACCTTCTTCAGTGTTATGTAGAGAACTATACTTATTCTTTGGAGATAGCAGAAGTATTCAGAGATGAAGTATAGTAACAATGGCAACTTTTCTTCAAATGGTTCAGAAAAAGAAAGTCATAAAGAGAGAGAGAGAAAGCCTGACAAAATGTGAACTTATGAAATTAGGTGACAGTCAGACATTTGTTTTTCTGACATTTTTAAAGACAAAGCTGTGATGGGATCTAGAGAGATGAACATAACAAACATTGTGCCAATTTGATATGTACACAGAACACACATAGAGGCCAGATATGTATGAGTGAAAATACTATATACTCTTATCTGAGATTAAGATAACACAGCTTAGTAGACAGGTTTGTGATTTTGCTTTGGGCCAGAAGAAAAAAAAAAAGCTACCACTTCTTAATGCCAGTTCCCTGTTATACCATACAGATTCATTTATACCAGCCTGCTAGGCCTCTTATCTGTGACAAGAAAACACACAGGCAGATTTACTCAAGCTGTCAAAATGCTTGTTTTTTAGAAAGCCAATTCTGTCCACACTTTAGCTCAGAGCCCTGACTGTGCATGGTAAAGGAAGCTTGAGTTTGCTCTACTCTCACAGTCCTGAGGGTAAACACCCCCAAAGGCTAACACAGGCCAATACTGACCTTTGGCTGACAGATGGATGACTCTCCTACATTGGAATAGTTTGCCAAGCTCCATGACTGCTCAGCTACATTCTGCTGCAACTCCAGTCCAAGTGACTTCAGCAAGCCATGGACTAGAGACAAAGACGACAAACAAGTGGAACTGTTTGGCAGGCAGATCATGACAAAGCCTCTTGCTTAAATATTTCTATGTAGGTGCCCAGTCAGTTTCATAACATCTCTGAAAACTCAGAGTGGCTGGAAACTTTATAATCTGGCTTGAGTTTGCTGGGCATTCCCTGCCCAGGGGCTCTTTAGCTGAAAGCTCTAGGAAGTCTACCTACTTAATTCACAAAGTGATGCTGCCCATTAATAAACCAGTTGTTGGTGGCCTGTACTGGTCTGCATTTTTATAAACATAGCATGAAGAACAGGATATGCACAGGACCCGGCACAGATACCCTCAACCATCTAGTCTGAGTCAGTCTGCAACTTTTAGACATATCACAACAAGTCTATCAGACCACCAGGGGCAGAAACACTTGTGAGAACCCAAATTTTCCTAGGTGATATTAAGATATGTCACACACCACAGTAGAAAACACAGCATTGAGGGTAAAGTGATTTTATGCATAGAGAAAGAAGAATAAACACAGCAGTCTATGGATCCACTAAAACTAGGAATGCAAAGGGAGAAAACTTCATAGTCAGGCAGGGAAGCAAGTCTATTACACTTCAGCAAGAGCTGGTCCAGCAGGAAAACGGAACAGTCCCTGTAGTCAGAACTGGGATAGGACCCAAGAGCCGCACAGCCTCCACTGCCTCAAGGCATACAGTACCAGGAAGGGAAGACCTTAAAGAGTACAGAACTGTTAGTTCAAACTGTTTAGAAGAATCTGAAAGGCACTTAAAATGTGTCTGAAGACCATAAAGATGGAATTGCCGAAGGAAAGTGACTCCCTTCCCCTTCAGGGGCTTCTAGTTTGGCTCTGGCCCAGAAGGCTGGCCCTTGACTCTAGTAGCTCAGCTAGACACACTCTGTGACCAGGAAAACAGAACCCAACAGGTGGTAGATGCACTTCCACAGCAAAAATCCAGTCCAAAGTGTAAGGCAGCACCTTAGGAATTCCTTCCTCTTCCTAGCTATTAAAACTGGAAAAGCCCTATAGTTCTATTTAAGCAGGACCAAGAAATCTAAGCCACATGAAAGGTGCTTCCCAAAAGGGTTGCAGCCCAGGACCTCCTGATCTACGACCACAGACCTGTCATCTTGGCTTGCTTTGTCCGTTTTCTGTGTCCAGGACAGACCCGGCTGTGTCCTTCCCAGCTCTTCTATACAACACTCCACCTCTCGCTGTCCCAGAGCCTTCTGGCATTTTCAGAGACCCCTTCACATCAAGCCTTCCCGTGAACAGGAATCGACCTTCTCACTTAGCATATGCTTGCAGAAAGTACCGGCAATCCTGGTACTTGTGCACAAACTCACAGTGAGGACTAAGTAAGGAGGTGAGAGTATCCCTGAAGACTTGCAAGGCCAGTACTGCCACTCTGAACACATTAACCCCCGACACCGTTCTCATCTGTGAGCAACTCTGTCCTGACAGGATCACATTTCCCTCTCTGAACCACAAGGAACAAACCCTAGGGGTCACACTGGACACCAATCAAACCCACGAGAGCAGCCAGCTCCACATAATAAACCCCACGTTTTGCATCATGAAAATGAAATCTTTAGTTTCTAGAGAAGGGAACAGTGGCTGGAGGAGAGAAAAGTGGGAAGGAAAGGAAGCACCATTCATAGCATCTTGAAAACATGCATACAGTAGTCTATGCACCTGTCAGCAACTGATCCTGACTAGGTTGTCACAGACTATTATTGTGAGAACAAATGAGCACTGGCTCAACAGAGATAACGGCAGTGCAAGCAAGGATGGAAAAGAAAAAGTGGCAAACACATGGCTAGTTGGGCACTTCTTGTTCACAGCCAAGCAGCCATAAAGAAAGTGTGGCCAGAATCAGAGGTTCTCTAGGGCCACTTGAAGAAACCTCTTGTTATAAATAAGCAAGGATAACCCTACATCTGCATTCAGAGCAGCAGAGCCCCCACCCACTCAGTGAAGAGCACAGCCTGCTGGAACTCCCCATTCTGTCCACAGAGCACAGTTTTGAGAACAAGTAAGTTTGCTAATTAATGCCTCTCTGCACAGCTTAGTTATAACTCTTCTCTAACACATTAGGGGGACACTCTCAGGCCTCTGTACCAACAGACCTCCATTAGTGTGTATGTGCCCACCAGGAGACAGCGCAACCTCCCCACCCAATGGCAGGCATGGCCCTTGCTCCCACCCCCACGCGACAACAAGGGCCGTCTGCGACTTCCTTCTTTACTATAAAACTCCCGAAGGAGTGCCTCTGGCGATCCCCAGATCCGCTAGCCTCCTCCATCAAGCCAACCAGGTTGCCAAGAGTTTCACAAAAAATGAGGAAATTTAAAATGTAAATAACAAACGTGGTGTGGGAAGAACAGCCAGGGGAAACTTCAGCTACAACTTCATTAGGAGAGCTTGGGATAGAGCTGAACAGGTGAAGAAGAAAAAGAAGGATAAGATGTGGGGACCGCGGCAGTCCGAGAGGATCTTCCCTGAACAATGGAGGGAGCAGGAATGGGGGTCGCGTGGCAATGTGGGAGCACGGACTGCACAGCCCTAACACTACAGGTGGGTGTGGGTGTGGGTGCGGGATTCAAAAGCCAACAGAGAGAGCAAACCTCAAGAGTGAAGATCCAGAAGAGAGTCCAGCATTAGACTAGTGGAGACTTGAGAATGTGGGATCTAACAGCCAAGGGGAGGCTAAAAGGAGCCCCTGAGAAGGAGCTGAGGGCGCTGCTAGCTTTGAGGGTGGGTTCTCGGTCCACACCGGAAAGTGGGGTAACCTTCATTGCGATGGCACGGCAAAAAGGGGACCGGCTTCAGGCTGGCATCTGACAAGAGACAGGTCGAAGGTGGTGACGGGCAGGGTCACTCCTGGGCAAAGCTGCAGCTATAAGCCAAGGGCGGTGAGGGTCTGGGACTCCCTTCCAGTCTGAGAAGCCCAGCACGGTCTCGCGGGAGAGGGAGGCACCGCAGCCCAAGGGCCCGGTGCCCAGGCCGGAACTCAGCCGGGGGGAAGGTCCCAGGGGTGGGGCTGGGACCGCGGCTGGCGACACGGGGCCGGGGAGGGGCTGGGGTCCGGGACTCACGCATCAGTGTGCTGAAGGCCACGACGCCGAGCAGCCCCTGCAGGAAGATGCCGAAACTGTGCATGAGCGCGCCGCTCTCGCAGCGGCCCGCCCCGGACGCGACGGTGGAGGCCGGCCCGCCCGGCAGTCCGCGGCTCGCGTTCCCTCCCGGGCCTTGCATGGCGGCCTGGCGGGAGGGCGCGAGGGGCCGGCGGCCTCGCTGCAGCCCGGGCCGCGCCGCCCAGCTGCGACCCGGGAGCTGGAGCCGGGAGCTGGTACCTCAGACCGCGGCCGCCTCCGCGCCCGCCGCGCGTAACCCGACGTCTGAGATCGTAGAGCCTGATTGGCCGGGCCAGGCGTGAGGCGGGCTTCGACTGCCGGGGGCGGAGCTCCAGCCAGGGCTAGCGGGCGGGGCTGGAGAGGGAGCCTCTGCAGGTAGATGGAGCAGGTGAGCCAGACGGGGTGGATGGGAATCGCCAGGGCCCTGGGCTCGCAGCGTCAGGGACAGTTGATTAAGTCCGTCGCTAAATCCCTTTCCCCTGCAAGGTCAATCTTTTATGCCCTGGACAATTTACTAAAAATAATCTTGCATTTTTGCCCTCAGAGTTGGATTCACTACTTCAGAAGTGGAGCCCAATGACCTGCAGCTACGCTATGCTAAAGCAGGGTGTTGAGTACAACCATCTCAGACTGGGTCTTCTTCCCACGCCACAAACTGAGTGTCCTACTTTCATGGTCAAAAGCCTGAGGATTCGATTCATTAATTAAAGCTCCAAGGTGAATCTCTGAACCCCAACCATAATTTGTGGGGTTTTCATTGTTTTGAAGCAGGCTCTTATGTAGCCCAGGCTGTGCTCAAACTTAAAACAATGATGTGTAAACAAGGATGGCCTTGAACTGCTGATCCGCCCGCCCACACATTCCAAGTGCTAGGATTATAGGCTTGTGACAACACCGCCTGATTTCCCAGGCTGATCTAGAACTTCTGGACGCTAATGTCCTTCCACCTCAGCTTCCGAGGTAGCTAGACTACAGGTCAGTGCCAGGACACTTGACTCCCTTTTTGATTTAAATGATTACTTCAGTGCAGCCACTTTTCACTTTAAAGAAATATAGTGAGTTTAAACGAACAGTCAATAGGCACATGTTCCTTGCTTTGTTCCCTTAGGAGGTACAACTACAAATTGAATGTTTGCTTTGAGAAAAGGTCTGGAACTCATTATGTAGACTAGGATCTGCTTGCTTCTGTCTAAAGGCGTAGGCCACCAAACCCAGCCTGATTTCATTAAAAAAAAAAAAAAAAAAAAAAAAAAGGCTAATGATGGATATTTGCTGATCTCCAATACACTGCAGTGCAGTAAAGACAGACTCCCACTTAACTCTTACTACTCAGACCCCTAGACTTCTCTGGTGTCTCTCGAGACACCTATTGGTCCCCAGAGCCCTGACTTCCTGCTGCATGTGATCTGACGTCCAACCAACGCTGAGCTACATTTGTTGCACATTAAACACTAACTCTAAAGAAATTCCCCCAAAACGTTCTAATTATCAGAGGGATAACTGCTTTCCAAAGATTTTTTTTTTTTTTTTTTTTTTTGTTAACAGGAATATTAACTCTGTAACTCAGGGAAAAAGTGCAATTCTGCAGCTTTTTTCTTACTATCTACTTACACACCTGCATCTTCACACAGTGTTCTAACTGTAGAGATGCTGTCCCCATGCCCGTTCCAGGAACTGCTTGCTGCTCAAGCTTTGAGCTCAGCTAGCTTTCCCACCCCGCTGGCTTCACTTTCCCGGGTGGGCTGTTCTACTAGTACTCCGCAGACGGTTAGACCACACAGTTGTCTCTCTCTCTCCTACCTCCAAGTACGAGCTTCCTCAAGGCAGAACTAGTCTTGATTCCAAAGATTTAGCACACAACAAATGGAACTGAATTTTAACTCATAAATTTTAAAATGCTCCATAAATTTATTCATCATGGGAGGGGGGAATATTAAGAAAATGAATGGAATGGATAAGGGAAACTTAAAAAATTGCATTATTCCCTTGAAGTCCAAGAAAGATCTTACATAAAAACGCTCAACAGTTACAGTTCATGTTCAGGGAGAACCAGAGGATGTGTCTTAAAAGAGACTATGATTGGGCACAAGGAGACTCCAGTTACATGAGGACCCAGAGTTCAAGAAAAAAGTGCACATACAGTTGAAAAATGAAGTTTGGGACAGAACACTGCTCTGTACAATCGGATGTGGGTGATTCTGCAGTCCACAGAGTACAAAAAGACACGTTTTCAGAATTTGAAAACAGAATCCCCAGGTTAGGGGGAGTAGCAAGGATTCTATTTACCTTATCTCTTTTTAGTAAGTTAAAAAAAAAAGTTCTCTAAATCCAAGATGAGATGAGATGAGACAGCAAGGGGTGGGAGTGGATTCCAGAATCTTATTTAAGTAGGAAGGACCTCTCTTACCCATTTCAAAAATGATTATCTGAGGCCCCACTAGAAAGAGTTTGGAAGAATGTGCTCTAGCCAAAAGCCTTTATTACTATAAAGCCAGACAGATTAATACTAGTTTAATTTTCTCACAACCACTTAAAATTGTCATATCACAAGTTACGATAAACTTATTTGCCAAAAAGAAAGAAAAGCACGCATATATTCATTCAAAATAGTTTTGTTTTGTTTTTAATCCTTTAAAATTATAACCATCAAACTTGATGGGAGTTAATTTAATTGATATTCTTGTGCATATTTCTCCTTAAGTGTACTTTGTCATCAATGCATAAATTTTTAAATTAAGAAAAACAGTAAGCAGGAAGAATACAATGCCAAAAGCATCTCATTTTTGTTCCAAATAAGCAACTTGTTGTGTTTTTTTAAGACAAAATACATTAAACAAAGTGCATTACTTTCAAAGAGAAAGCATTAGAGAGGGGTTTAAGGAGGGTGCTGGAACCAGCCTGGAGTCCCATCCTGACAGGCCTTTGATTGTCTTTAGAGAAAGTTCAACCAAAAAAGGAGGGAGGTGAGAGAAAACCATGAGCACTTAGAATCTCGAGAGAAACATCCAAACTATCTTCCCAGAGATTCTTACAAAGGGAACTAGAGATGCTTGCTTCATCTTAGCCTAAGCTTTGTAACCTTCTGTATCCTCCACTAAGCACCTGCTTTGTGACTTTAGTTGCCTTTAAAGTCTATAACTTTCAACATTATGTGACCACCTATTCTGCCAGCTAGACATAGTTTGACAGAATAGCTCATATAGGAACCCTTATGCCTGAGATTCCACACATCCTGAAAACAGTTCCTCTCACACACATCAGCAATGGTGACACTATTTCACTGTCAGCAGCTTCCCTCCTTCCAGTGGCTCAGTTCTGCACTTTACTGCAGACAACTTACTTGACAACTTACTGCAGACAATTTCCTAGACAACTAAGTGAATCTGTTGCTTGTCTCTTTCACAATGCTTCACTGTGGTAAGCCATAGTACCATACCAAGCTAGTCAGAAAAAGCATTAGGAGAGTTTTAGACCTTCTTTTTTTATCCCCCTTCACTTCTAATTTTGCTGATTCTTGTGGAAATTTGACTTCTTAAACACAGCAGCAAGAAAATCAATACACATTGCATTTAACACCCACTACCTCTATGCCTCATAGTTAAGACTGCTCCCAGAGCACAGTTACCTACATGGCTGAAGACAAGCAACCAAGGGAAACAACCGCAATTGAGTGCACTGGGAACCAGATCCATTTTGACTGGACTTTTGAGTTCAGAATTCTTAGAACTAAACTCCAGGTCAATAGGTAGCTTTTTATGATAAATTCAAATTCCCCAAGTATTTACATTCTCATACAAAGCAATCATCAAAATTCATGAATAAAACATTTAAAGTGAATAACGCCAATGGCAGGAAAGTGACCATTACTTCTTGGTTGTACAGGAGGCTCTGTCCTTACAGAGTTTCTGAGCAGACATCATGGCCACAAGATACAGCAACTTACAAAGGTCCTAGTGCCAGAGAAATCCAAATTCACAACGGGAATATCTTGTTTGCCCAAGTTCTCTACTTCACTTCTGTTAGCAATTTCCCTTCTTCACTTCGTAAGGACAACATACATCCTATTCATAAAAAGAACACTTAGGAACTTGTGTGAATTTGCACACCCAGTATCTAAGGCATTCAAACTGTGTGTATCCACAGTATAAAGACTCTCCCAGCACTGTTGGCAGTCGGTCTAACTGGACAAGGATCTCTTTAATGTAAACTTTTGGTGAGAGGGGCCAAGTAAGAATAAGAATCAGGGATAGTTTTTAACAATGATTTTACAATAGGTTTTACACTGCTGTTACCTTTAATTTAGACTAATGTTCTGCGTCTCTTGGAAACAGTGTTGGCTTGAGAGGGGTGGGGTGTTTTGAGTCCTACCTACCCTAAGCAGTATTCAGGCATGACATTAGTAGCTAAATTTGTTCTAAAGAGCATGTAAAATGTATTCAAGTCTTCAGAAAGCTTTGGTCTAATGCCCTTTCCCTCACAGTGAAAATAATTTTACTTCTAGGAGAAGAGACACAAAGGTCAAACTATGAACTGATTTTTTTATGCTGCCCCTATCATAATTCAATAAATATTTACTAAGATCATCATTTCCAGGGTACTAGGTTGGCTAGTACCCTTCCTGGACCCATATTATAAACACAAAGAGCCACAAACATTGCTAAAGAAAGGCTAAAGACAGAATTAACAGGCTTCATTAATGCATCCCCTGTTTGAAGAGGATGGTTCCCAAAGGAAAACAGCAGATAGAGTTAAACCATCAGAGCTGAGCTGCACACAGAGCTGAAGGTTTCCCTGGAAGACGAACATAGCTATAAAGTTTGGTTTTGGTCAGTTTAACTTTTCACATCTAGAAGGATAATATAGTCCATTCATGTGTTTCTAAGTTTGTCAGCCCAGGTTAAAGATGGATCACAAAGAGCCTGACTACAGGAAAGCTATGAGAATAACTGCAGGTGAACTCCAGACAAATAGTCTCCTTATAGCATAGCTCTAAAATTTTTTTGAGGTTGGCTTTCTCAGAAACGGGGTTCACACACAAATGTGCAACATACAAACTGCTCACCTCAACAATGCAAACTATTATCAAGCTTAAAACATCTTACTGGTGTAGTGGGGCACACCTTTGACCCCAGCACTCAAAGAGGCACACGCAGGCAGATTGCTGGGAGTTTGAGGCCAGCCTGGCTGGTTCAGACATCCAAAGCTACACAGAGAAACCCTGCCTCTGGAAAACAAAACAACACAAACCAACATCATCTCAGCATCATAACTGAACCATCATTGCTACCCAGCCTAACCCCTGTTAAATGGAATAAACATTGTTTTTTAAAGTCAGAGTCTCATATAGCCCAGGCTAGCCAGAATTCACTATATAGCTGAGGATGATCTTAAACTTCTCATTCTTATTTCCACTTCCCAAGTGCTGGGATAAAAGGTATGTTATCACCATACCCAGTTTAGGATTAGAATTTTATACTTTAAAAAGTCCTCTGCAAAATTCTCATATAATTATCCTCTTATGTGTGACAACTGGGAAGAGGATGGGGTAGAATGATTCTTCTTTAATGTGATTGTAAGAGTGCAAGAAATATTTAGGAGAGCCTTCAGTTGTTTACCTTATGGCTGGCCTTTCTACAGGAGAACACAGAGGCTGAATAGTTATGGTACAATCAGACAAGGCTGCCGTGTGTCTGCTCCCCACACACACTGAGGACAAGTTAGACCCATGTGCTTCACCTTCCAGGCACAATACCTGTCATCTCTGACAGTTCTACAGTCTGTGATCTTTGAGTCAAGAAGAGAGGTAAAACGGCAGTCATTGCCGTCACCCTTCATTTTACTATGTGAGAACCTACAGGCCTAAGTTTTATGTCCTCATGAGACTCCCCTTTGTATTAGTGACTTGACTGCTGAGGTCTCAGGAAATAAGAACCACTCTAAGTCAGCTTGTTTCCTAAGTCAAGAATGTTTCTTTCCCATAGCATGAATGAACCACACTTTTAAAAGCTGGATCTCTAAGTAAGCTCAAATAAAGTGAACTGTTACTTAAATGAAGCTTCTTCTCAGATACACTGTTGGCAACCTATGTAAAGAGTATTACTCTAAGAGTTGTTTGGAGGGCTGAGTTAAAGTGGTTCAAGAATTCGCCAATGAAGAGGAGGATCCAGACTACAGACTTTCTTAGTGCTCATAAAAACAAGTGGGGTTTGAGGTGAGAAAAGAAAAAAAAAAAAAAAAAAAAAACCACAATTTAAATTTGTAATAATATTACCTTATATTTGTATAGCTGTTCAGAATTTACTCAGTTTGCAATTTTAAAACATTTTCATTTCTTGAGAAAAAATTCTTAGGGTATAAATCTGTAGGGATTAGGGCAACCCAAAAATAAATAAATAAATAAATAATCAACAAAGCAAAACATTTAAAGGAGGCAACCTGTGTGTATGTCCTTCCTTACTCATGACTATAGTATAGCAAGTGCTATTCTTCTATATTAGCTAACAATGCCATTGTAAGTGAAAATTCACCTGGAGTTTCATGTCAATGTGAGTTTAATTTAAAAAAAAAAAAAATTTTTTTTTTCCAAAACTATGAGCTACTGAGTGGGAATCCTCAGACTGTAGTTACATTCATTTAATTGGTTTAACTGAAGACAGGCATAAAAGTGGCTAGACAGAGATTTCCAGACTCTTTAACCACCTCTCCCATCCAAGTTCCAACCAGGCCCCAGCTCTGCTTAGCTTTCCAGAGACAAGATCTGGGACATTTGGGGCAGTGTTGTCGTAGACTCTTAACTGCCTCTCAGTATGCATCACTAAGAACACTACTAAAAAACTTCATACTTTGTGCCATCCCAAAGCCACATCTCTCTACTGTGTGTCTCTATGTGGACATTTCTAGAAAATCAGGAAAATGTGCTTGACATTGGGTCCAAAGAACACATACTGATTTTCCTTGAGAGTAGAAACTCCAGAAATAAAAGAGGTAGTTAAACAACTCTACAGAAAAATAAAACATAAAATGAAAGCCACTTAAGAAGAAAGAGTGAGAGAATAATTAAACTGAAATATCATACATTGGTCTTTGTGAAGTCACTTAACAAAGGTAGCCAAAACTAGATTAAAATGGAAAACACAATGGTAGAATTTTTAGGAAAAATCCATGAAGGGACTGGTGTGTAAATGCCAACATGATATCTTTAAGAAAGCAGGCAGTGCCTTCTCTAATTTCTGTCATAATTTTAGCATTCGGCTTAAAAATGACATCATAAAAAAAAAATGTCACTCATGGCTGTAAGCGCAGTCATCAACAGAGGTAGTAAACAAAGGAACTCCTAAGAATAGATTTTAAAATGGATCAAAGTGTGACTATACATTCAAAACCCTAGAGCCACATAATTATCCCCAAAATCAACTGCTTTAATTTTACAAAGCTTAAAAACACAATGACAATGAAGCACTGATGTGCCTTAGGCACAGTCCCAAATCAGTGCTGACTTAAAGCTATGTCCTCTCTTTTCAAGAAAGAGAAGGCAGAGAACAAAGTTCAATTTATGTTGGGAAAAAACAGAATGAAAATAACCAAACTGGTGCTGTCCAGCTGTCAAGATCATTCTTTGTTTTCAGGTCCCATTAATGAGAATTTGTATTTTTAAGTTTTTTTTTCTCACAACTTTTTTTTTAATAACTGTAATCTTCTGAACAGAAGTCCATATTTCCACTGCAGGAGAGCCATTTTTGTGCTGTTTTTGCTTCCTCAGTGTAGGTCCTTCTTCCCTGAAAGTGCAAAGAAAGCAAGCCAACACTTGCAGGGCCGACAGCCCCAGGACTACTGCAACCACCTGTAGAGCAGGGCAAAGGGTTTGCTGCACTGTGCTTCAAAGACCCAGCTCACTGTTTGTCCTTCTCAGTTGGCAAACTGCTCATAAAAGGCAAACTTGATCCTCTCTATGTGATGGCAAAGCTTGATGGCAGGACCCAACTTTAAGTCCATGCATTCTTGAACAGTGGGAAGGGTAAGAAGCAAAAGGGCCTGCCCATCGATTTCCTGTTGAAGATAAAGAACAAAGTCTGTGATGTGCACACATGAAGCTCCTTCATGACAATCCCTACTTGCACTGACTATTACAACTACAGTTCTATACATCCCTATATTACTTTTCCCTTTAAAAAGTATTACAGTTTGCCAACCTTGAGACTCTAATCTACTGATTCTGCTCAACAGCAAGTTAGTATCTGTAGAGTCCTGTAATTAATAACTAATTGTGAAAAGGAAACATACTTTTATTTAAAAGACTCTAAATCTAAAACTATTTGAAAATACTAACCATAAACTTTAGTGTTCTCCTACCTTGTAAAATTCATCTAAAAACTTCAAGAATGATCAGGCCTTTGTTTTATTTTTGAGACATGGTCTCACTATGTAGCCTAGACTGGCCTCAAATTTACTGTGTAGCCCAGGCTAGACTGAAACTTGTGAGCCTCCTACCCCAACTATCTAAGCATGGGGATAACAATCACAGACATTGTTCTGAATGGGGTTTCATCTTCTATCTGTCATAACTATTCAGATTTCACCACTAAAACTGGTAATCACTCTAAAGCCTGGCATATTATAGATGCTAAGTTTAAAAAAAAAAATAGTAGCAAATAACTATTCTTTAAAATGATGAGGTCAATTAATATATGCTTGATTTTAAGTAATTTAAATATTTAGATGGATAGAATTAAATTCTGAGGGAAAACAAAGCAATAATCTGCTGCAATTATGGTATAAGTCATATGAATAACAAAAGAGAACTTCAACAATCTTTTGTACCAAACCATTTTTCTAAAACTTGTAAGTTTTTCCTATTATATGCATAGTTCTTTGCCGAAGTGACATTTTTATTACAGATGTTACTTTCTGTGATTACCTGGTCAAGGAATATTCTTGCCAATGGAGCACAGTCAGTGGACCTGATGAACCGTACAACATCTGCCACACTCCACTTCAGTGGGTTACTCTCCAGGTGAAGCCTTTCATCAACTTCAATCCTTATTTCCTTCATTCCCAAGAATGAGATCAAACCAAATAGTGTAAGAGCTAAAAATGTCTCCCCAAAGAAATTAAACAATCCCTCAAGACAGCATTCAAAGTAGCCTTAAGACTGACATTCCCTGCTCCCCTTATTCTTACTCTCAGACTGATTTCTTCCAGCAAAGATGACAAGAAACTCACACACAACTGTTATTTGGGAAATGAATAATACAAATTTTATCTTATTTATTAATGTTTCCCATGTGTTTCTTAATGGTCTTAGCTGTTCTCTGGTACGATGCTAGAGCAAATTTCATTTCTAATGAGAGAATAAAAATATTTTTTTTGAGAATAAAAATCTTTTATTGCTCCTGTTAATGGGATATTTTAAAAATCCAGTTCAAAATGGTAATTTTGTTTTGTTTCATGCCACCCGGGCTATCTCTGAACTGGTCTCCGGCCTCCATCTCCCACGTACTGGGTTACAGGAGTACGTATGTCACCACACCTACTTTTTGCTGTGCTAGGGCTTACACCTAGGGCTTCATGCATGCTAGGCAAACACTCTATCAGCTCTAAAACAGTAAGTCAGTTATAGCCTTTAGTATTATATAGGTCATACAATGTGCATTTATGTACAGAGTAAACGTGCTAAACAAGACAGCTGAATGAGAGGATTAAATGGGAAAGTAATTTGTTTCTAGAAAACCACATATTATTAAAGAATTATTTAAACAACATTTTTACTTAAACCAAATGGCAGGTTAAAAATCAGCTAGCAATGAAACTTTTCCTCTTTACTTAAAACAAGCAGCTTCTCTGAGGACGTCCTTTCATAAATCATCTCCAAATAATGCTTGCAGCTTTGAGGATCATTTTATTATTTTTTAAAATGCACTTGTATTTGTGTATACGCAGTGGGTGTGTGAACCACACTCAGATGCGCACATGAATGCAGTCCCCATAGCAGCCAGAAGAGAATATCAGAACTGAGATTCCAGGTAGTTTTGTGGGACACCCTGCCATGGGTGCTGGGAACCCAACTTGAGTCCTCTAGAAAAACAAGACATTCTTTCAGCTGCTGAGCCATCTCTCTACCCATTGGGAATCACTTTTTAATCACCCTAGAAATTTTTCCTACATTTATATGGAAAGAAGTGGAATGCTGGTACCATAAATGATGATAAAGGGAAATGAGAGGGGCAAGGTGAGAGAGACTGCTTTTAATACGGTACCTTTGGTGAAGGAGGTTTATTTTCAACATCTGAGAATGAAAGAGTGCGGACTTCTCTTTTATTCGTCTGTGTGTCTGGAGGAGGTGGAGGAGGTGGAGGAGGTGGAGGAGGTGGAGGAGGTGGGGGCGGTGGGGGCGGTGGGGGCGGTGGGAGCACTGGGGTGGACATCTCACTCTGTGTGGGAGAAGAAGAGCATGATTTTTTTTCTGACACTTCCGACTCTTCCTGTAACTCATCCTGTTGCTCAGATGTACTGCCCTCACTTAGGGAATCATCATCTCCATCGTCTGCATCATCCTCATCTTCACCCCCACTTCCCTAGAGGAAAAGGAAAAATATCTTGCTGAAACTCAGAACAAACCAGTCACTGGACCACAAAACCATCTACTGACCAAATATTACAATTACAGAGACATGCGGGTACTGTGTGTACAGACTGTAAAGCAGTGATCATTCAGCCCCTAGAAAAGACAGATATGTCACAGATCTTATACCTGTGGTGAGCCCACTGGTGTATTGTCAACAGATGCAGAAGAGCGTTTCTTCTTATGAACAAAAATATTTTTCCGCCTTTTTCTCCTCTTATTAGCTTTTTTCATGGCACACGACAAATTACTATGCCCACCGGGTGGCCTCCCAATTCTTTTATTTTTCTTCTTTCCATAATAGTGTGCTAAATATAAATGACCAAAAAAAGGGGGGGGGGAATAACTTTATTATTGTTGTGTGCCTCAAAAACCACAGGATTCTATTAGCACAGCAGAAAACGGGTATACTACATTTGAAGTTTAAATTCCATTAACAGGAATAAGCAGAGAAATACATAATTTGATTTGTACTAACATGTAAAACTAAACAATCTTCACTCCGTCGAGGCAGAGAGCTTTCAGGGTTCCCAGTCATTCATTTGTGGGGCAAACACTGTTATCGTTCCCATCACTGCACATGAACTTGCTTTCTGCAGAACCATGCAGTAGGTAATGCTTTATAAATTGCTTTTTTCATACAGTGTGATTTGCTTTAGTCTCATCTGTGCTGTATATAAACCATTTAAGTAGCTCATTCTGCATGTTTGTAAGTACATCTATTCTATAGATGTACCCATTCATCTATTTCACTGCTGATGAGCACCTGGGCCATATCCAGGTTTTTATCAAAACTAAATAAAGTTGTAATGAACAACTCAGGTTCTTTGCAAGAGCAATAAGTGGTCTTAGCCACAAAGCTATTTCTTTTCTTTTCTTTTTTTCTTTCTTTTTTTTTTTTTTTTGAGACAGGATTTCTCTGTGTAGCCTTGCCTAACCTGGACTCACTCTGTAGACCAGGCTGGCCTCAAACTCACAGCAATCTGCCTATCTCTGCCTCCCTGAGTGCTGGATTAAAGGCATGTGCCAGTAATGACCACCTCTAGATTTCACTTTAAACATTTGTATTTTTTTGTATTAGGAACATTTGAAACCCTCTCTACTAACTACTTAAAGCATACACTTAAATGTTGCCAAAAGTTAGCCTTCCACATCGTCATCCTACGAGGTATCGCCAAGAACAACAAGAACCTTTGTTTTAAAGGGGGGTAGATAGTATTACTGAGCATCATCAGGCCTCGGCCCCTGAGGCCTTTACACAGGTATACAAACAAAGGTGCACACAAACACAAAATCCTTATCCCTCCAATCCTCCTGCATTATTGTACCCATCAATCAACTCCTCTCCATTCCCACCTCCTGAACACTCTTCCCAGGCTCTGACAAACACTATTCTATTACTAACTTTAGCTTCCACATAGAAATGAAAATATTTAGTATTTTTCTTTGTGTCTGACTTATTTTACTTATCAGAACATCCCTAAGTTCTATTTGTTAATGCAAATCTCAAACTTCCATTTCCCACACAACAAATTATACTGAGCTATTTTCATGTGTTTATTGCACATTGTATATCTTCTTCCACGATATGTTTGTGCAAGCCTTTTTATTCATTGTTTAAAACTGTTTTCTTTTTGCTTTATTTGAAAAAACAAGTCACCTACATTTTTTTGAATTTTATTATTTTTTACAAATTAGTTAAACTTACCCAAAAAGTAGGCCAATTTGGTGTTTGTAAATTGTATTGCACTTATTTATTTAAAATAATACATAATTTTAGATATAACAAGTTCACTTTAAAAGAAAATTATACATGTTTTAAAAATTATCACACAAGTTAAAAATACCCATCTGTTTTATATTTTAAAAATGTAATTGTAAATTTAAAGCATGAGTTTTATAGTCATAAACTGTTCTTCCTGAAATTCACGATTAATTGCATCACTGGCAGATTAGTAGCTGAATTTTGAACCCACAATGGTTCTTTAAAATATCTATGTGCAAGCCTAAAATGGCAAAAATTTATATTCTTGGGGGGAAATATCTAGAATGTGAGCTCATTTAAAGAATTCATTTACTCCGTGCTAAATTAAAGGTTACTGAGCTGCATTCTTCTTTCACAATTCCACAAAGCCTCAAATTATGGAAACTGAATCCATCTTTCCAGAACCTATTACAGTATTGATATCTCTATTAAATTCCACTTCTCTGATTTTCTTTTCCTGAAGAGACACTGTGACTCTATTAGAAATCTTAGTTGAACGGAAACCCATGTGGCATACGATTAGCTATGTTAAGTACACAATCCAGCGGTGGTTAGTATCTTCAAAATGGCATGCAGCTATCAGCTCTGCATCATCTCAAACTTCCCCTTTTATTACTGAGTTGTAGAAATTCACACAATGTTCTGAAGTTCTTGGCTGGATACACACATTAAAAATATTTTCCCAATATCATGGCTTAGCTTCCTCTTTTTTAAATGGCAATAAAGTTTTTCATTTTGGTGGTCTTATGTGTTTCCTTTATGTCATCAGTATTTCTGGGCTTCACTAAGAAATCTTTGCCTGCCCTAAAGTCTTGAGACTACTCTTGCTTTCTTCTAAAAGCTTTGTAGTTCTAATTTTTACATAAGGCATCTATGATAGGTCTAAGATTAATTTTTGTATATTGTATGAGATAAGAGCCTGAGTTTGGTTTTGGTTTTCTGTTTGGATATCCACTGTTACTGGTACCATGTTAAAATTAGTTCTTTCTTCACTGTTTGTAACCCTTGTTAAAATCATTTAATCATGTTAAGTTTCACCCTATTTCTATATCCCTATTTCAACCCACTATTTTATTCTACTACCCTTTAATACTAAATCTCTGAATAATTAGTTTTGTCTTATGGTTAAAAAAAGAGTCCTTCAACTTTATTTTTGTTGTTTTTTTTTTTTCTTTCAGGATTGAAAAGTTTGGGTATTCTAAATAAACAGCTGGCATGGTGGTATCTGCCTATAATCCCCCAGTAGTTGTAAGGCTGAATAAGGTGGACAGAGGTTTTAGGCAAGTCAAAGCTACATAGTAAGTTCTAGACCAGACAGAGCTATACATACAGAGAGACTGTTTCAATGCAAGAGCTGAGCATGGTACTACATACCTGGGCTAATAATAGTAATGATGATGATGATGATGATGATGATAATAATAATAATAATAATAATAATAATAATACCACCACCTTGTTTCAAAAAAGAAACCAAAGCCAAACCAAACCAACAAAGTCCCCCTACACATACCCTCCACACACACATGAAGAAAAGAAGGGCTTGGTATGTAGTTTGGAGACAGGGTGCTTGCCTAATGTGCATGAAGTCCTGGGTTCAATACCTTACAAAGGAGGGGAGGAAGGAGGGAGGGGAGGAAGGAAGAACAGAAATTGAGAGGGAGGGTGAGAGGGGAGGAGGAGATAATTTTAGTTATATAGCAAAATAATATAAAAATCTAATATAATTTTCTGCAAAAAAGAATTCCTCCTTGATCCTTCCATTTAAAAATATTCAGTTAAATAAGAACGGAATGAATAAGATCACATGACCTATAGTATATCTATCATCTGATTCTTTATAGAAGCTTGTGCTTCTGCTAATATAAATGTTGCTGCAAGATGTAATATGGCAAATGCTATGGCTAACACATGTGAAACCATCACTCACTGTATTTGGTCTTTGTAAGAACAGAACAGTTCTCAGAACATGTATCCAGAACCATCCGTGGACCAAAGAGGTTGGGACAACATTCCAGTTTGATACATGTTTGCCGGCAGAATTCAGTCACTCGATCTGCTGTTTTCACTATCTCAACAGTAGCTCGATAACTCTTTCCTTTATATCTACAATTAGAAGACATCAGACACCAAAATTATTCCACCAGTGATAACCCTGAGAAAAATTTAACAGAAACATTCTGAAAGTTGCTTTACTTGTCTTTCATTGTTTGAGAATTCTTTTTTTAATGAGTTATTTATTTTTATTCTATGTGCATTTGTGTTTTGCTTGCATGTATGTCTCTGTGAGAGTGTTAGATCCTGTGGAACTGGAGTCGGTTAGCTGCAAGCTGCTGTATGGATTCTGGGAATTGAACCTTTGGAAGAGCAGCCAGTGCTCTTAACCATTGAGCTATCTCTCCAAAGCTCATAGTTTGAGAATTCTTAAAACAAGTTTTCCAGTCTGTATTTAAATCTGGTACGCTTCAACAAATTAAAATTAAGTTATTATATAAGACAAAGCCCCTGGTTTCTGTTCCTAGATAAAAGTATGTATGTTGCATTTCTGTATTCATTCATTTGAGTGATCAAATGATTCCCAGGGGACTCAAGCATGCTAGGGAAGCACCCTACCCCAGAGCTGTCCTCCAACCTTGAAGAATGTTAGAGCACTTTTAAAACTACTATAAAAGCACTTTTTCATTAAATCTTCCTTTATCTTGAGCAGTGGTCCTCAAGACTGTGGCTCAAGGACAGCATGACATGGCAACTGCTTATCCACCCACAAAAACTTCAAGTCAGAAAGCAATAATACGTATTCATAAATTTTCACAGAAGTTTTAAAACATAATTTTACATATTTTCATTCTAATAAAGTGTTCTTGTATTTATGTCTCTTAAAGTTAATTAATTAATTAATTAACTAACTTAGGATTAACAGAAATGACAGAAAAAAATTAAAAGAAAAAAATCTTCCTGGTCCTTCATCACAAGCAGCTGCAGCAGCTCTGCTCTGGGAGTACAAATGACCTGATACTATCAAGAAGCTTCATTACCTGTGAATGACAAATAAGAGTAAAGGCTGAGGGGTTATACTCACTTGGCTTTTAGGACTTCCCCACATCCATGCCACACAGAATCTTTGTCCAACTGGAGCTCACGAAGGACACGGCTGGGTTTGTAAGCTGCATTGATAAGTAAAGTGAGGACCTGAGATGGGTTTTAAGGCAGAAATACGGGTTCAGGAGGAAGGAGAAAAGCAGACCATTAGAGTCTTAACGCTCTTAATAGTGTTAAGACTTTTAAGATAATTTCGAAAATTTCCAGTCAGATTAAGAATGTTAACAAAATAAAAAAGCCAAAAATACGTTGCCTGCAAATTAAGAGTAACCAGATTCCTTATAACAATCAGGAAAAAACCAAGTACCACAAATTTGAAAGTACTATAACGTGATCTGAAATGCTTCCCCAGCACGGTGCACACAGACAATTGTATTTATTTGGGATCTTCTTAGTATTATGCTGTGATAAAACACCAGGACCCAAACAACTTGGGGAGGAAAGGGTTATTTGGCTTATGGTTACAATCTATCCTCACAAGAAGCTTCAGCAGGAACCTGGTGGCAGAAACTGAAGCAGAGACCATGGAGGTCAGTACTTACTGGCTTCCTTCTCGTGGATTGCACATCTTGCTTTCTTATACCCAGGATCAGAGTGGTCCAGAGGTGCCACTGCCCACAGTGAGCAAGGCCCTCCCATATCAATCATGAATCAATAAAATGCTCTAGAGACTCACTAACAGTCTGACGGGGGCGTTTTCTCAGTGGAAGCTCTTCTTCCCAGACTCTAGTTAATGGACACAACCTCCTAAGCTATAAACTAATCTCACAGTGAATACAGGTATCCACATACATTTTTTTTTAAACACAAGGTCTTGCTTGAACTCAAAATTCTCCTGCCTCAGTCTCCTGAATTGTTGGAATTACAGCCATCAGCCATCCCATCCACTGGATGGATCCGGGACTGCTTGAAGCCTGAACTTCAACTTCAGGCAAGGAATCCTAGAGCTAGTCCACTTGCTCCCATACACTGTCAGCCATCTCACCTATTGCTGGGCCCTGGAACATATGAATTTGATCTCCAGCGCAAGTCAAGAGACCTCTATCCCTACCTCAATCATGTGCTATAGCAACACAGTGCTCGCTCTCTGGCACAACCCCTCCTAACTACAGTCTCCATACAGCTGCTAGCCAGGAACCCTCCAGCCAGCCCATGTGGTGTAAAGACACAAATAACCTATCTGCACTCCCTGGCACAGGCCTCCCAACTCTGCAGTTGCTTGCTTGTGCCAGATCTACCCTCCAGGCCTAGCCAGGCCCACACATCCTGTGTGCTGGCTCAACCTGAGCCAGTCCACCTGACCCTACCTCTGCCTGCAACCTCCTCAATTCACAGAAAACAAATGAAGCTAAATTACTCAAACACAAAATCAACTAAGAACACAAACAGCAAAAACAAAACAAAACCAAACCTGTACAAATAAGTGACTGCAATCACACACCTTTCAATAATAACTTTAACTATTAATAGTCTCAACTCTCAAAAGACTCAGGCTGGCTGAATGGATTAAGAAATAAAAGTCCATCTTTTTTTTTGCCTAGAAGAAACTCAGCTTTATGCTCAGATGTAGCCCATGGCAGTTCAGTATCCAAGTATCCAAGTGGGTTCCCTAGTAAGGGGAACAGGGACTGTCTCTGACATGAACTTGGTGGGGGCCTCTTTGACACCTCCTCCTACTGTGAGGGTAGCAGCCTTGCCAGGCCACAGAGGAGGACAATGCAACCAGTCCTGATGAGACCTGATAAGCTAGGGTCAGATGGAAGGGAAGAGGACCTCCCCATCAGTGGACTTGGAGAGGGATTGGGAGGAGGTGAGGGCAGAAGAGTGGAATTGGGAGGGGAGGAGAGAGGGGGCTACAGCTGGGATACAAAGTGAATAAACTGTAATTAATATAAAGCAATAAAAATTTAATTAAAATGAAATAAAAAAGAAACTCAGCTTTAAAGAGGCACCAAATTAAAGTAAAAGGATGTAAAAAAGTATTCCAAGCAAATGGGAACAGGAAGCAGTCACTACTATAATAATATCTGACAAAATAAACTCAAAAGCTAAAACTAACCAGAAGAGATAGGCAGTTCACTGTGATCAAGAGTCGAGAGAGCAATCAATGGAAAAGACAAGTCTAAATGTGTGGTGCCAAACTCTAGAGTACTCAATTTCACAAAAGCCCATTATTAGAACTAGAGAACAGATAATCACCAATCCAGTAAGAGCAGGTGATTTTTATACCCCACTGTCTCCACAAGACAGCACATCTAGACAAAATATAAACAGAGAAACATCAGAATTAAATTACGTCATACTTCAAATATGACCTAACAAGTATCTGTAGAATATTCCAAACACTAAACGAAACACATTCTACACAGCAGCCCACATCATGAGACACAAAACAAATCTTAGCAAATCCAGAAGAACTATGTATCCTATCTGACTATGAGGCAATAAAACATGAAACTGACAACAAAGAAATCTCTCCTGAGTACATAATCTCATAGAGACTAACTACTCATTACTTAATGAGGAATGGATCAAAGGAATAAAAACAAAAAAAAATTCTAAATTAATAATGAAAATTATTAATGAACTAAATTAATAATGAAAACACAATACAACAAAATGTCTAGGACACAAAAAAAGCAGCCCTACAGCGGAAACTTACAGCTCTATGTGCCTATATTAAAAAATCAGAAACAGCACAAATATTAATTAATGATACAACTCAAGGATTAAGGAAAACAAGAATAAATCAAATCCAGTAGATGGCAAGAATAAAAATCAGAGCAGAAATTAATGAAGTTGAAATAAGTAACAACAAAAAAAGTCAATGAATCTAAGAGCTTGATAGAACTTTAGAATTTTAGGCATGCACCATAGCACTCAGCTTTTCAGTTTCCTATACACAGTCTCAAGTGGTCCCTGACAAACACCTTTTTAGACAGAGGTGAGCCTATTTGAAGACTCACTTACTTCCCTACGAAGCAGAAACAATCGTGAGCCAATTTGCCATGTAGGGCAGTAGTCCCCACCCAGCCTTATCTGTGATTTTTGTGTTCTGAGTTTCAGCCACACATGCTCCACAGTGGTCCAAAGCCCCAGACTAATTCACAAACTCTAAATTGTACAGAATTCCAAGTAGCCCGATTAAATCCTGTACCACCCTACTGAGGCACATGCATACCTCCACCTACTCTGTCCACACTGTCCACACTAAAGCCTCTGAGTAGCTGTGCAAGTTGTCAGATCAGATCGTAAGATACCACAGGGTTCATGGTTGAAGCCTCAAAGTAGTCGAATGCCACACTGCCCATCATGTAGACATGATCTGATCTCACATCACAACAAACAGAAGTTACATCTCAGGTAACATAAAAGATGACTTTCATACAACTTTTACCACAGTATAGTTAGAATTTTCTATTTTATTATTTGTTATTCTTGTTAATCACTTACTATGCCTAATTTATTAATTAAATTTTATCCTAAGTGTGGTGGTCTGGACATAGTTTGAATACATCCCCCCAAAGCTTATGTGTTATAATCCTGGTCTGCAGTATGATGGTTGCAGAAGATGACAGGATCCTTAACAGGTGAGGCCAGGTGGGAGACTGTAATGGTTAGTTTTACTTGTCAATCTGACACAATGTAGAATGACCTGGAGAGAGAGTGTCAATAAGGAAGTGTCTAGATTTGGTTTCCTCATGGGTATGTCTATGGAGGGGAATTATTTGATTTTGTTGATTGACCCAGCCTAAAAGTGAGTAGCACCATCTCTGGGTTTGGGTCCTGGGACATATAAAAAAAGAGAAAATGAGCTGAGCACAAACATTTCACGTATTCATTCAATTCACTCCTCTGCTCTGTGGATGTAGCGTGAGTAGCTATTTCAAGTTTCTGCTGTCTTGACTTCCCTGCAAAGATGGATTGCAATCTGCAATTATGAGCCAAATAAACCTTTTCCCCTTTAAGCTGTTTTTGTCAGATTATTTTTCTTACAGAGTCAACAAATAAAACTAAAGGTCCTTTAAAAACTTGGAGCCACCACCTCAGAGAAGACAGTAGGCCTCCAGTATCTCTCAAATTTCTTATTTGGCAATGTGATTCTTCCTAATACATGTAATTTTCACTAAGATTTGACAAAGACAAGAGGATCTTCCCAGAAGTCAAGTTGATAGGGACACTTGGTCTTGAACTTTTTGCCTACAAAAACTATGTACTAAATAAGCCTTTTCATAATAACTAACCTTCTTCAGGTGTTATAAGAACAAAAGATATTAACACAATACATACAGAAAAAATCCATAGAATCTGCAAGGTTTGGTACTTTTCACATTTTTAGGCACTACTTCAAGTCTTGGAATTGTATCTGCCATGGCTAAAAGGGGAACTACTGTACATGAGAAAAGTTAAGTTACATTTGATTTAACTGACAGTTGTTACATCGATGGTACATGGCTCTCTGTATGAATGAGCCTAGGACACTCTCATTTAACTTTCAAGTTCTGCCCTAGGTCATAACCTTACCTCTCTAAGTACCAGAACACAGTTCCCAGGTCCTACACATTGAGGCAGCTCAGCAATTCTTCCCTTATTAAGATATGGCCCTGAGAAGCAACGGTGGTTGAAGTATATCTTTGGACAACAATATTTTCCATTGATCATCACTGGAAATGAAGAAACAAGTATTCAAAGTAGTCATTCTCCCTTTATTCCATGTTTCCAAAGATGAGTTGGGGGTGGCAACCAGCATATCACCATTATATAAGTTTTAAAATTACTTTTTGTGTGTGGGTTTTGGACCTGCTATGCATGCTTTGAGCTACATTCCCAGCCACAGACATGAATATTTTGAAGTTTAGCATACTGTCTGACAATGCTCTTAAATATCTTACATTTACTTTATGATAGGGTACAGAGCTTATCACTATCCTGAACTACTACTCCTAGATTTGTCAGACAACTCTAGAGCCCCACACTTCTACTGGTAAAGGAAGTAGAGGACCTACTCCATAATCTCATCAGTCTTAATCATGTCTTTCCTAGTCCTTCAAAACAAACTATTCAAAAATCTATTCTATAGCACTTCTAGGGATAAATGCTGAACACTACCCAGGCTTAGTTTGTCTCCTAAGCCCCATCTTAGTTAACATTTCAAATGTACAGGGGTTTCTGTTTATTTTATTCTGAGATAAGAGACTCACTATGTAGCCGCAGTTGGCCTACAGTTTTAAATATAGATTAGGCTGGCTCTCAACTTGAGGTTATTGTCCTGCCTCTACCTCCCAAATGGAGTGATTACAGTCATGTGCCACCACGCTTGGCTCAAATGTTTCCTTTCCTTTCAAATACAGCCCATTAAAATGTAACCAAGGATCTCTTCTCCACAATGTTACAAATACTATACCTGAGTGGTTGGCGTTCAGCCGATTCTTCAGGCCCTCATGGACAGTTCTTGAAGACAGTATTCTGGATCGAGAAAAATAGTGAAATTACCAGCATAGCCTAAAAGTTACTCGTTTCCTTCAAAAAAGGAAATGTACCCAAAGCAGAAAAATGTTAACTTATAATACATTATTTTTAAGTAGAAATTGTTTTTAAAACCATGCATAGGACAAATGAGCCAAGAATCTATAGACATGTGATACTGTATGTTCAAAAATTACAAAACTGTATTATAAAATCTAAAAGTTTCTTTTAGAACTACACATGAAAGTCAGGTTTTTAGGAGATAATTAAGACTTATTTAGAACTTAGATCCTAAGAGTAGGATCATATGATAGCCATATAAGGGAGAAGACAAGGACGGGAGAAGGGCAAGAAGAGATCTTCACTGAGTGAAGTCCTAGCTAGAAGGTGTCCATTGGTATGCCAGGAATCAAGACCTTATAAGGAATCAAATCAACTGCCATTTTGATCTGACAATCCCTAGCTTTTAAAGTATGAGAAACTTAGCTTCTGTGGCTTATATCATCCAGTCTGTGTTAATTTTGTTATGGCAGTTTATTAGACTATATAGAATTCAAAATTTAATATAAACATAAAAACTTCTGTATCTTTAAAGATGTAAGATAGCACCAACTGACTGCTGCTCAAAGGATGTAAGAGTATGCTACAAAGAGTTTCCTGATGGGTTTAAAGGAGAACTGTAGCTTTTGTTTTCCAGTTGCTGTTTTGTATATCAATATACTGTGACAAATCATTCCTTGACTTAAAATTCTTGCTCTTCTTTCACAAATATTTCCTTTCTTTTATTCAATTACTTTCAGTAACTAAAAGCTAAAAAAAAAATATTTAAGGGAATATCTTGATATATTTGCCCTTTTGTATATAAAAATTTTGATATAGGCTTTTACTACGTAACCCAGGCTGGGCTGGAATTCACTCTACAACCTAGGCCTGCCTTAAACGATCTTCTGACTGAGCCTTTAAAGTAGCTAAGATTGTAGCAGCTTTATTTGTAATAGCCAGAAGCTGGAAACAACCTAGATGTCCCTCAGTTGAGGAATGGATACAGAAATTGTGGTACATTTACACAATTGAATACTACTCAGCAATTAAAAACAAAGAAATCATGAAATTTGCAGGCAAATGGTAGGATCTAGAAAAGATCATCCGGAGTAAGGTATCCCAGCAGAGAGACACACATAGTATATACTCACTTATAAGTGGATATTAGACATATAATAAAGGATAAACATACTAAAATCTGTACAATTATGGAAGCTAATCAAGAAGGACGACCCTGGGTAAGATGCTCAATCTTCATTCAGAAAGGCAAATGAGACAGACATTGGAAGAGGGAGAAAACAGGGAACAGGGCAGGAGCCTATCACAGAGGGCCTCTGAAAGACTCCACCCAGCAGGGTATCAAACATACGCTGAGACTCATAGCCAAACTTTGGATAGAGTACAGGGAATCTTATGAAAAAAGGGGGAGATAGAAAGACCTGGAGGGACCCAGGAGTTCCATAAGGGGAGCAAAAGAACCAAAAAATCTGGGCACAGGGGTCTTTTCTGAGACTGATACTCCAAACAAGGACTATGCATGGAGATAATTTAGAACCCCTGCACAGAAGTAGCCAAAGGCAGCTCAGTATCCAAGAGGGTTCCCCAACAATAGGACCAGGGACCATCTCTGACATGAACTGATGGGCTGGCTCTTTGATCACCTCCACCTGAGCAGCCTTACCAGTCCACAGAGGAAGACAAAGAAGCCAATCCTGATGAGACCTGATGGTCAAATGGAAGAGGAGGAGGACCTCCCCTATCACTGGACTGGGGGAGGGGCATAGGAGAAGAGGAGGAAGGGAGGGTGGGATTGGGAGAGAATGGGGGAGGGGCTACAGCTGGGATACAAAATGAACAAACTGTAACTAATAAAAATAAATGAATGAATGAATGAATGAATAAGTAAATAAGTAGCTAAGATTTTAGGTGTACACCATCATGCCTAATTTTATTATGCAGTTTCAGGGAAGGCGTACACTGAAAAAAAGTATATAAGCCTAGCAAATTTTTCTTAAAAGTTTATGCTTCCATTGGAGAAAATAACCCAAGGGAGATGTATTTCCTTAAATAGCTATTTTTTCCCCTAAATATTCTAGTTTTAAATCTGAACTGTTTAGACATGTTATATTACTTACTGTTTTTCTGGTTGAACCACTGCAATTTTCCTCTGTTTGTGCACTATAGGAAGAGAAAAAAAAAAGCTAAAAAAATTTAAAGACAAAGGCAAAGACTCAGGCTTGCAATCAGCATATTTGATAGCTGGTTGTATGTAAATAAGTAGCAAGCACTTTAAATTAATCTTTAAGTGTCAACTTTCTAAGTAAGGAACATTTTTCTTGGTTGGGGTCTTTCTAGAAAAAACAAAAAGAATTATTTTCAAGGATCACTAAGCTAATCAATACTTACAAATACTTTCCAGCAAAAATGGATACGGAAAAGAAAGGCTCATCTGACAAGGCCCTTAGGACCAGTCAATGGAACAGAAATAGTTTCAGCAGAGTGCTAGGGAAATAGAACATCCAGGTATATGAAGCTAGACTCTTAACTTACATCACATATAAAAATGAAAGCAAATTACTAAACTTCAAAACTCTTTACATGTGAGAAAAAGCTCATAGCGCTTTTTAGATCCCTTCTTAAATATGACACCAAGAGCAGAGGTGGCAAAACAGTCAAAGAATTACACTGAAGTACATTCAGTTTAAAGACTTGCTAGTGAAAAGAGAATAAAGGGTCAGTAAGATAGATAAGAACACTTGCTACAAGTCTGACAACTCGAGTTTGATTCCCATCAGCCACTTGGTAGAAAAATAAAGTCAACTCCCACAAGTTGTTCTCTGACTTTCACGTGCGTGCAGTGGTATGTGCACGTGAATACACAGACACAAATACGCACAGTAAACGTAAAAAAAAAAAAAAAACATAAGGAGAATGAAGAAGCTGGAGAGATGTTTCAACAGTTAAGAGCAGTTGTTCTTACAGAAAACTTGGGAGGCAGCAATAGGCCAATCTGAATTCAAGGCCACCCTGGTCTATATATGGAGTTCTAGCCTAGCCAGGGTCTTTGAGGCTTAAACTCCAACTAAAAAATAAAAAGTAAAAATATTTTTAAAAATAAAAAAATAAAATACAAATAAAAAATACTAGGCTAGCTAATTCCAATCGAAGACAAATGTCAGCTTCCAAGTTGCCCTATGAAAAGATCCGTTTAGCAAAGAACTTTGGTCACTAGCCAGCAAAACTAAGTTCAAGAGCCCAGGAAATAGACTCCTGCTGCTACTGTATAACTGCACTCTTAAATTAACCCTGAACAGTAATTACTGTATGAGGAGGTGAGGCACTTGGTAGGTGATTAGATGATGAAGACAGACCTCTCCTGAGTGAGATTAGTACCCTACAAAGGATGTCCCAGAGAGTAAGCAGTCTGTGTTAGCATGTGAGGACACAGCAAGAACATCTCTGGGCTGAAGAGACAGCTCAGAGATTAAGCATCCTGGCTGCTCTTGCAGAAGACTCTGGTTTAGTTCCCAGCCCCCACATAGTAGCTCACAACCAGCAATGATCCAGTTCCAGGAAATTTAATGCTTTATTTTGACCCCTCAGGTATCAAGCACCACATAATGCAAATATATATGTGCAAGCAAAATACTCGTACATATGATAAGAATTTTTTAAATCTAAAAAAAGGCCTCATCTAGGATACTGAAAATAGATCCTCATATCTGCTAAAACCTTATCACTTGGACTTCCTAGCTCTAGTAATAACAGATATTACTTTATAGAATTTTGTTATCAAAACTAGAATGGACTAAGACACTTGCCAATAATCATCTGACTAAACTTGGGGAGATCCTCCCTAAGTCAAGCCCTAAGATACCTGACCTTGTAGAATCCTTTATAAAAGCCTGTAAGAAATCGAGATCACCTAAGTTTAGCCCAGACCTCAAAGCTAGCAAAAGTTTGTTGTAATAAATAATTGCCTACATATACAAAAAGATAATTATCATTTTGGTTTTCTCTGAAATGTCTATATTCATCTTAATTGGTAGCATCTGTGCAAGAGATCATTTAATAACCAATTTTCTAATCCAGAAACAGACAAGTACCTCGTGCCCGTCGAGGAGTACTGAGAGGATGGCCATTGGATTCACACCAGCCCAAAGGAAATATATCCATTGACTCCACACTTACAATAAATTCGGGTATAGGCTTCTTAGAACCTGTTAGATTAAGAAAACAAATTTTGAACTATTAAATAGCTTTCTTTATATTTTTTTTTTCTGGTTTGTTTAGTTTTAAAAACTGGGTCTCATGAGGTAACACAGACTAGCTTTGAAATAGTGATCCCCCTGCCTCAGCCTCCTAGGCACTGGGACTACAGGAATGCACAACCATGTCTAGTCCTACACATTACTTTTTAAACAATACTGTAGTAATATAGACATGTCTTTTAAGCAATAATAGAAGTCATATATTTTATGTTATATAAATATTATGAAAAAATAAGTTGCCTTCTATGTATATCTTATAAGAATTAAGAAGGAAGTAAATACAAAGTGACCATTGGTAAAGAAATCCAGCAAAGCAACTGGAGCTATGACTGTGTCATTCAGATGGCTAACAAATATCAGAGTCATTTCCTTGAAATAACAAGAATAAGAGGGGAAAATGTCAAGTTTACTTTAACAACCAGGACTAATGTTTTACATTCTTGGAATAAATTGAAATCAGGAAAAGATCTGCCAAGTTGCTTGGCAGATGTTGCATGGATGTCTGCAGTAAATACCATCATTGACATCTGCATTATGTATCAATTCTACAAATCAGAAGCAGAAAGCATCTTTTTAGAGAGTATTCGGCAGCAGGATAAAAAAAGCAGGCCACAGACAAGAGCTGCAGCATTGATCACTTACATAGCTTCATCCACTTACCTATCCAACCATTAAATACTACCTTGCGAAAGACAAATCAAGTTTGTCTACGTACTACTTGGTTCTATGGTCTTGGGGCAACCAAAATGTTACCTCTTCAATAAGTGAAGCAGTTAATGTTACTATTTTGGCAACATCAAAATGTAAGTTATTTTGACTTGTCCTCATGAAAATAAAGGACTTTATAGTAAAGAGCTTTTATTGAGTTTGGTTTCCAAAAATTTAAAAGCCAAGGACAAAAAGTAAAACTTCAGCTTGAAATCTTGGATTTCAAATTAGACTCTACTTAAAAGTCCACTGAGTCTAACAAGCTACACTACAGGAGTGAGCAGGAGCTGCAAGGAAGGGCCAGAGGAAACTTCTAAGGGTGCTGCCACATTACCTTCCAGCTGGAGCCACAGATACGAGCCTCTGACTGCAGTAATGGTGGCAATGCACACTTCTTCAGGGAGAAGAGGGTTCACTGCCTCCAGTTTCATGTTTTCTTTAAACTGGTGCTCAGAAATCGACTAGAAGAAAAAAAAAAATCAGTGAATCAAATCCATTAAGTAGATTAGTACATAGTATTAACTGATATGCTCAACTGGAATGTGGGAATGTTTTACAAGCAGTATTTAATCCCTAGATCTACAGTATGGCATATTTTGTTTTACTTGTTTTCAAGGAAGCAAAGGAAAAATGCTTATTTTACTTGGTAGACAGAATGGTCTTTGAGTCAGACACTCTTGCATAGTGCTATGTGGATAATGACCTTGCTTGAGTTGCAAAATCTATTTTGCCTGTTTCTTCACTTGTCACATGGAGTAGAGAATACCTATCTTGCTGGGTTATTAGGAAATAGCTATTAAGGAGACCCCGAAGGTTCTGTGTCCCTAATCAACTGTCTCTCAACCCTTAGAGGGCTCTGCTATATCCTTTAATGTCTATCATAAAAGGCAGTCAGGATAAAAAAAAAAATGCCACGAATAAGAAGAAAGAAGATTTTGTTGTTTTCCTTCCTCATAACTAAAAATTGCTGTTGGTTTTTGAGTGTATAAACCTAGGGCTGAATAAATGGGCTTAGCGGGTAAAGGTACTTGTTTGATCCCAGAACCTACACGGCGGAAGGTAAAAACCAATACCTACAGTTGACCTCCATATGTGTGCCATACATGTGCACATGGACACATACATGCACACTCCAAATACATTAAAAAGAAACCAAACCTAGAAAAATGCATCTAGCAAGAGAGAAAACTCAGCCTAACAAAGGGTAAGCATAAGGTGGTAGTGAAGACAGCCGAGAACTGTTAGAACCAGGACTAATGCAACTCAAGGCACAAGAGCTATAGCCCAAATAAGGACTGATTGATTTGTCTCTCCTGTTTTGTTTCAGACAGGTCTCAGGTAGCTCAGGCTGACCTCTACTCTTGCTACGTGTAAAGTGTGACCTTTATCCCTGACCCTCCTTCTTTCACATCCAAAGTGCTGAGGTCTCATCAGCACACTCCATGCCTGGCCTATGCAGCTCTGAGGACCTGCCTGAGGGCTCTATGTGGTCTCATCAGCGCACTCCATACCTGGCCTATGCAGCTCCGAGGACCTGCCTGAGGGCTCCGTGTAAATAAGCAAATGACACTAAAGTGATAGTGAGCTACACTCCCAGCCTCTCACTTTCTTTAAAAATTAAAAACAAAACTGGTTTGGGACGGGGATCTTATGCTTAGAAATGGCTGGCTTCACATTTACATCAATCCTCCTGCATCAGCCTCCTAGAACACTGGGATTACAGATGTGTAGCTTCATGTTTGGAGGACCTTTTCTTTCCTTTCTTTCTTCCCTTTCTTTGTTATTTTTTGACAAGAAATGTTGTTAGAAGTATTTAAAAAGCACGTACCGTATGCCATTATGTACTTATTACACACCCCACAGACACAACTGTGTCTTTCCCTTCCCTACAGAAAGTGAGATTTATTCTCTGGAAAAGATATAATACAAGCTCTTTGGGCAGAAGGACACAAACAACTTTTAAAAGGTATGTATACAGTGAAGGCCCAGCTATAGCTGCTCTATATCACACAGGGGACAGGAAAAGATCTTTAACAGTAATAGGTTAACACAGACAGATATAAATTTAGTTGTTAGTCAATAAATGGCCAGCTAGATCCCACTCTGTAGAAAAAAAAAAAATCAAGGTTGACAAACTCTATTCAAACATACTCAAAGTTTCTAATCAGTTTTTTGTTTTAGTTTCCTATTTTTAAAATATAAGTAGGAACCAAGAATGATCACATTTAAACATATAACCACAAAGATCATTAACATGACAAATGTTTAAAAAAGAAAATAATCATAGAATGCTGCAGCAGTCAGCTGTTAAAAGTTTGGAGGCACATAATGAAAAACCTTAACCAAAATTTCATTAAAACTAAACAGGGGTAGTTAAGACAGAAGGGAAGGTAACACAGTATAGTTAACTGTTCCTTTACTGTACTAAGTCCTCAACGTTAAGTGTCTACAATTAATACCTCAAAAGAGCGCAACATATGCCGCGCATGCTGGTGCACGCCTGTGATCCCAGCACTTGGGAGGCAGAGGCAGGCGGATCACTGTTGGGTTCGAGGCCAGCCTGGTCAACAAAGCAAGTCCAGGACAGCCAAGGCTACACAGAGAAACCCTGTCTCAAAAAACAAAAACAACAAAAAAGAATGCAATGTATTATTTTGAAAATGAGTTATGAATACAAGAATACAGCGAATAAAAAATAAAATGTGGTCACTGTATAAACTAAAGACATGAGCTTTCCAAGAGAAGGGAAGATTTTTACTGTAGATACGAGGGGTCTAGCCAGAGGCATCTGGAAGAGTGCAGAGCAGGAAGAGAAAGTAGCAGACTGAGCATGGCCAGCACACTGGACCAACCTTGAGAGGACAGAGGTGGAGAGAGCAAGAGAGGAAGACAAAGAGAGTGTGGGCAAGAGAGGGGCAAGAGGGTGCATAGACAGAGCCAAAGTAAAAAGATCATAAAGGCATGAGAAGCTGAGGGAAGGGAAGCCCATAAGTTGAACAAGTTTAGGGTAGTGGGCAAGAGCCACAGGTACTTTTGATACTGAGGGAGCCTCAAGGCCGCCAGGCACTTTGGTGTGCTAACAGGCACCACAGAATTTCTTTTGAACCTGACAGTCTCTTCTAGGAAGGGGCTTGCAAAGAAACAAGACAGGCGTTGTTCTACATTCTCAGTTTTTCATGTTATTAGGTTCCCTGCCTACTGTTTGTTTATTTTACTTATTTATTTGATAGAAACTCATTATTGTAGCCCTAAATGGCTTGTGCAGACCAGGTGGGCTTCAAATTCACAGAGATCCACCTGTTACAGGCTGGGATTAAAGTCAAAACCCACCACGCCCAACCAGAGGTGGGTATTTCTGAGACAAGATTTTGTAAGGCAGCCTGGTCCATGGTAGCCCTATGGCCTCGCCCTTCCAAGTGCTGGAATTACAGGCACTGCCACCGTACTTAACGGCTATTCAGCTTGTCTCTTTTTACTCGGTTTTTGTCTGAGTTTTGAAACAAGGTCTTTCTACACTGCCCAACATGACCTAGAACTTGCTACGTACCCATGATGGTCTTGCACTCATCATCTTCCTCTCTTGCCTCAGCCTCTTCAGCAGTGGTTCTCAGCCTTCCTAATGCTGTGATTCTTTAATACAGTTCCTCATGTTGTGGTGACCACAACCATAAAATTATCTTTGTTGCTACTTCATAACTGTTATTTTGCTACTGCTATGAATCATAACATAAATATCTGATATTCAGGATACCTAATATGTGACCTTGTAAAACGGTCATCCCACCCCCAAAAAGGTTGTGACCCACAGGCTGAGAACCAGCGCTCCTGAAAGTTGGTATTATGAGTGTGCACCACCATATCTGGCTTAAGTTTGGTGCCTTAACTGTCTGGACTTTTCAAACAGGCTCACATGTTGTTGAAATAAAAGTATTTTTTAAAAATGTAACAATTTTTCTCTATTTAATATTAACAGTTTCATTATCATTACACCACTAAATTATAAAATTTCAAATTCATATGACTTTACCTAGTTAAAAAATACATATATATAATGTAAACTTGTAAAACTAATTTATTTAACAAACTATCTTGTGCAGTAAATGAGTTTTCTTAGGACTATTTTACAGTTATCAACAAGGTAGTTATCTGGGTTACATGAGCTGATTAACTTGGAAGGAACAGTCATAAAAAGACTCAGCAGCACCACAGAAGCCCAGCGGGGAGCAGCGCTCTGAGGGGTCTCACCAGAGGGAAGCACTTCTGGGGAGCAGCTTCAGCACCACACTGTTTGAGGTAGTCGGCCCAGTCAAAGTCCTGGCTCCGGAAGCCTACAGAGACAGAGAGCAATGATTCACACCCAACATGCCTGTGCCTCTAGCACCCCACCAGTGCGCTCACAACCCCAAATGCCATTCTGATCAAGTGGAGGGGACTGTATATTTTTCACGCTAAGAAACTGAACCCAGGGTTATATATAGCTAATTTTATAAAAGAGAATAACTCTGGGCAAATTATAATTATATACTAAAATTCATGACGTAAGTGTTTAAACTTCCAAGTTTCAAGCTAGATTTTTTTAGAGCAGTATTTTTGTATGGCTAGTTACTGGTAATTTGCCAAGAGTTAAAAAAAAAAAAAAAAGTTATACAGCATTTCTTTTCTTTATACAGAAATTTTGCATTACTGATTTTATTAGTATTTTTAATCAGTAAGAACTTTTCATTGATAAGACTATTTGCGTTCTTCAACATGTCTTACCTAAAACCAATATAATGACTTTTTTTTTTTTTTAAAGACAGGGTCTCATGTAGCTCTGGCTATTTTGGAACTCATGTAGCCAAGGCTGACCTTGAATTCTTGACCCTCCTGTGTCTACCACCTTCCAAGTTCTAGGATTACAGGCATACACCACAACACCCTGGTCTGATGCAATACTCTTTTGTTGTTGTTGCTGATATAGAATTTTTTTTTTGTTTTGCTTTGTTTTTCGAGACAGGGTTTCTCTATGTAAACCAGGCTGGCCTTGAACTCACAGTGATTTGCCTGTCTCTGCTTCCCTGAGTGCTGGGATTAAAGGCATGCCCCACTAAGCCCAGCTCTGATGCAATGCTGTTAATACTGTTTTCAGATTCATGTACTACAGAATCTGTCTAATATTCTCAGAGACGGAGAAGTTAGTGTTCACAGAAATATAGCTGGATATGAGAAATAATTTCTAAACTCCCCACTAAAGTAGGATAATTGTGGTTGACAAAAATTAACTGAGCATCTCAAACTACTAATAAAAAAGATTTTGACTGCTCACAACACAAAGAATTGATATTTTATCTAACAGATGTGTCTATTACTCAACCTGATCATTATATATTGATTATATGTATTAAAATGCTACCCTGCACTCTATAAATGCATATGTGCCAATTAAAAAACATTTTAAAATTCTAAATGCTCTGATATAATCTGAATCATAAATTCAACTCAGACTAAAAGAAACAACTCTCTACATCAATCTATCAAAGTTCTTGGCAGAACCACCTCTACACTAGTGTCTGACTCAGCCCCATCTGTGTGGGAGGAGCTGCATGGCTGAGGTCCACTTTGCCTAAATTGCTGTCTCAAAGCTTAATCAAAACTGTATCTTCCTACAGGCAACAAGTCCCTGATATTCCTCTTCTTGTTCAAACAAAAAGGGCCTCGGTTCTCCCTTTGACCCTATCTGACTTCCTGACAAAACATTCTTCGACATGTTTCCTTCTTAAATATTTCTACTTTTATATATGTATACGCATGTGTATATTCACATATGCATGCTGGTACCTGCAGAGTACAGAATGGGGCACTAGTATCCTGGAATTCAAGTGGTAGGGAGCTATGAAACCTGTGATGGATACTGGGAACTGACCTCTGGACTTCTGCAGAAGCAGCAAATGCTCTTAGCCACTGTGCCATCCCTCAAGGCCCCAATGTCATTTTCAGTTACACAATTCACTATTTCCCCTGTGTTTACAAGGTCAACTGACTAGTCTATAGCATGCCCCAAACTCATGCACCCTGAATACTTGTTTTTTGTTTTCACACAAAGGTAGTAAGCAGTACCAAGAACTTGGTATATTATGCACCTTCCTGCAAAGCAACAAGTTCAATGCCATACCTTCCCACCAGGTACTCCTGTGTTCTGCTCATTGAGGACAGACAATCTGGGAAGTTCTGAGGATGTTTTCTCCCATATACCTCTTAAAAGGCTAGACCATTTCCACCTCTGCCTTCTCAGTGATAAATCCAATACGTGTTCATAACAAGCATTGTATAAATGCTTTGATCAGGTCAAATATCGTATTTTACAAAGTTATAAGAACAAGTAAAATGAGCTGTTACTCATTTTAGATCTTGATCATAACTTCCCTCTGGTTAGTCACCTTCATAACAAGGCCTTAACACCTAAAACGATCATCCTTATGACCCTCACACAGACATACCTGGAAAGAGAGAATCTCAATTGAGGGATGCCTCCATCAGGCATCCCAAGGGAGAACCTACAAGGCATTTTCTTGATTAATGATTGATGTAGGAAGGCCTAGCCTACTGCTAGTACTGCCACCTCTGGGCAGGTGGTCCCAGGTTGTATAAGAAAGCAGTCCGAGCAAGCCAGATGGAACAAACCATTAAGCAGAATTCTTTTATAATCTCTACTTCACTTCCTACCTTGAGTCCCAGCCTGGACTTCCTTCAATGATGGGTTTTAAGTATAAGATGAAATAAACCATTCCTCTCCAAAGTTGTTTTTGGTCCATGTCTTATCACAGCAACAGAGAAGCAAACTAGAAAACCTACCCCTCTGTGAATTTCCAACAGATTCCAAATGGAACAGACAAGGGAATCTGAACAGAATCCAGGCTTGAATCTCTCCTAGCTGGCTATACAGATACATGTCAAAGAATGAGAACACACACACAGACACACAGACACAGACACACACACACAAATACTTTTTTAGCTTGTGACTTCAAATATTATAGAATGAACTGGGCAAGGTGGCACACACCTTTTAATCCTAGCACTCAGGAGGCAGAAGCAGGTGGAGCTCTGTGAGTTCAAGGCTAGCCTGGTCTACATAGCAAGTTCTAGGCCAGCCAGAGCCAGTAAGGCCCTTCCTCAACAAACAAACAAATAAATAAAATTATGGAATCTAGATCATTTATCTTGGACCTCCAAAATACACAAGACAAGAGGTATAAAAGATCTTGACAATCATCCAACATATATCTCAAAGGCTAAGGCTGGTAGATCAGGAATTTAAGGCCACCAAGGATCATTTAGTGAGTGTGAGGACCCACTCAGCTATACAGTGAGACGTAATTAATAATGATAATGTAACTTTGAAAAACCGGATAGAAGAACTCAAATCCATACCTGGAGGAGGGTTGATATGTAAACCATTCTTTAGACTCCACTGCACAGGAAAAATGCCAGGACTGTTAGCATGGCACACAAATGATCGCTTTGTATGATCTTCTGGTCGAAGATCATCCATTTCCACTAGAAAGTACTTATCATCAAAAACCTGTAAAATTAAGAGAAAAAACTGACAAACGGCTTTATGTATATTATACATGGAATATATGTTATGTGTTATATATATGTGTGTGTGCACACACACATATATCTAATATACATATATTAATACACCTATTTGTACTTTCCTTGGCACGATCAAGCATGTTATATAAGTTCATTTATACTCACCCTGGATTATTAAAATATTCAATGGTTCTATGTCAGGTACTATTTAGATAAATATCTTTCATATATTTACTCAGTTTGACTTTTTATAACAATCTAATGAGGCAGATACCATTTTCAATTCCATTTTTCAGGTAAGGAAAATGAATTCAAAGAAAGGTAAAGTAATTTACCCCAGGTTACACAGTTAAAAAACTGCAAACCCAAACTCAAACCATGTAATTGGGTTGAAAGCAAAATTTAGTTTAAGCCTAGCTTAGTGGTCAACTACATTACTGTCCTAACTTCAAAAGCCAAAATGAGAATTAATGAATGTCCTTTGTGTCCTAAGCAGCCCGTATCTCTTCAGAATCCAGAGAAAAGTTGGTAGGTCTCAGTCTCACTCTCTGTCTTAAAGATTTATTTTTACTTCATTACGTACATGTGTGCCTGCCTATGTATGAGTGTATATATGCCACAGGGGAGCACGTGCTGAGAAGGCCCTAAAGCTGTAATTATAGGTGGTTATAAGCCACAATACATGGGTGCTGGGAACTAAACTGGTCCTCTGTTAAAAGCAGCTCTTAACCACTGAGCAACTTCTCCAGCTTCCAAAGAAGGTCTTAAGACTATTTACAGGCTCATTAATCTCTCATTGCTGAGAATAATCTTCCACTAAGTCAAAGACAATGTAAATCTCATCAAGTCAGATAATTAAGCATCCTAGTAACTACTCCCATAGTAAATGGGCTTCTGCTCTAGTCCTAAACAAACACCACATATCCCACATCAATCAGTAATTGCACCTTGACAATGTATTCAGCTCCTGTGCTTCCTCTTAACAAAAGCCTTAATTCTGTCAGCTGTTGGAGAGATTAAAGTCTGATTCCAGAACACATAGCTGTAAATATCTTATTGATGATGCTAATTTTGTGAGTCCCACAAGTCTCTCTTTGCCCCCCAAACCCTTCCCCTGTTTAGATAAGTGATGGCACTGCCCAGATTCATACTTTATAAATACTGTGGCCCAAATATTAGTCAAGTCCCTTTTAGTTATACAAAGTAAGGCTTGCCTCCAAACAACATTCCCTCTACTATTTTGATGCCCTGACCCTGCTCTGCTTTGGCTGTATAGAACTACTAATCTCTGAAAAAGAAAGGGCATACACACACCAAAAACAAACAAACAAAACAAAACAAAACTTGTACAATACAAATATACAAAAGTGATTCTGGCTTTACAATGAATTGTATTAATAGAGCCTAAAGATCAAATCATCATAATTTCCTCAACTAGTCACTCTGATGGCAATTCTTCCCAGAAGAATAATCATTCCCATTTCACCTTAGCAATTGTAGCAGGAGAAATCCCAAAAGGAGACCATGGGTCCACAGCTTCCAATTTCATATTTACAGAAAATTCATGAGTTCCAATAACTTGCTTATCCTGAAATACATACAATAAAAATAGAGTATATTGTACACTGATTAATTATAGTCACATGTTACCTGAACAGTTGTGACAGTTACTCATCATTGCCAGTTAGACTGAATTAGAATCACTAGGTAGCGTGTTTCTGGGTGTGTCTTTGAGGGTATTTCCAGAGAGGTTTGACCAAGGTGGGAAGAGCTATACTCTGAACCCTTATGAACTATGGTCCTGGACTGACTAAAAAGGTAGAAATTGAGCTGAGCACCAGCATTCATTTCTCTTTGCTTCCTGACAGCATGTATATTGTGACCAGAAACCTCAAGCTCCTGTCTCCATGCTTCCCAGCCATGCCAGTCTACATCCCTTCAAACAAAGAGCCCAAATAGACCCTTCAGTCCTTAGGTTGTTTTTGTTACAGGTGTTTCATCAAAACAACAAAAAAGGTAATCTAGTTAATTAAAATAACAGAATTGTTAAGCTTCTGGTAAATCCTGTAATTTATCTTCCTGGAAAAATCTATTCAGAACAACAACTCATAGAAAGTATTCCTCTCTACATCTGGAATTCAATGGGCATCTGGGAAAAAAAATCAAATTTATTTCCTAACTAGTTAAGGTTCTGTAGGTTAAGACTAGAAAAGAAAATAGGACAGTGGTGGTGCACACCTTTTATCCCAAGCACTCAGGAGGCAGGCAGATTTCTAAATTCAAGACCATCCTGGTTTACAGAGTGAGTTCCAGGACAGCCAGGGCTACACAAAGAAATCTTGTCTCAAAAAGAAAAGCAAAACAAAACATGATTACAGGGGGAAAAAAAGACATTCACTAGCTTTAGGACGATCTGGAGAGAAACCCAGGTAATTGCTGGGAAACAGGGTGATCATCATCCCTCTAGTCTGACCCCTCCTTCCCACACCAGAGGCCACAACACTCTTCTGCCTCCAACAATTATTCTTCATTCTTTAACTCTCCTAACTGCTATCTGTTTTTACCTTAAATAAGTAACAGGGTAATGGCTCTTCCTCTTTCACTTTGGCCAGAATCTCTTGCCAGTCAGCTTCATTTTTCAAATGCCTGATGGCTTCAGTGAGACAAAACAGCATGTTTTAAGAGGAAAAACTTTATATACAGTTCAACTTCTGAAAGCATTCACATAAACAAAAGTACTTTCTACTACAGGATAGGAAAGTGTCCAGGCCTTTTAAACAAACCTTCACACAAAAGAATTTTTACCTTAATCTCAGTATTAGACTCTGTTTAGGAGGCCAGAAAATTAAAAGTTTGTTAAAATATCTACAGTAAGAGCAGAGGTACTGCTATAGCCCATGAAATAATGTAATAAATACCCAAAATGGAAAACATAGTAATAAATGCAAGTGAGAGGTGAAGTATTGGTTAGAGGAAAATTCTGAGGTATAATCAGTATGCATGCTAAGTTATAAGTATAATAACAAAATCAAAGAGAAATATACACTTAATGCAACTACTTTGTACAAATAGAAAACACTTTACGTGAATTAAAGTTTTCAAAATATGTAGAATACATTTTCAGCCTCACATTTATATTAATAATAAAATAATAATGGGCCAGGCGTGGTGGTGCATGCCTGTAATCCCAGCACTTGGGTAGACAGAAGTAGGTGGATCTCTGTGAGTTCGAGGCTATCCTGGTCTACAAAGAGAGTACAGAACAGCCAAGGCTACACAGAGAATCCCTGTCTTGAAAAACCAAAACAAACAAGCAAACAAAACCCACCACCAACAAAGAAAACCAACAACAATGGACGTTTATAGGAAAGTGCTGTTACTCTTCACCTAATGGGGGCTGAAGTTCATATCCTTGTTGAGCAGCCCAGCCAATGTGATGAAGAAATGGATCTAGGTAATACAACCAGTGTTCAAAGCCATCACAACTTTCAAGTCCTTCATAGCGCAGCTTCAGCCGTCCCCCGATGTTCTCCACCACAGTGACAATCCAAGTGCTCAAAGTGTCCCGAAAAGCTTGACACTCTAGTCTGGATCCCGGAGCAATGAGATCTAAAGGGTTCCTTCCATTTCGGAGCTGTGTGTTTAAAACATCACATTGGAAAGGTTAATGCTTCTTTTTAAAAGCCAAGTTCTAAATTATTTCAAACTAGCCTTCATATTGTTTTACTCACTCCAAAACAGTGGCACCAAATTACATTGTCTACAGATAGCCTCCCACAGAATCACTTCTGGATGATATGAAAATGTTTTTTTTATAAAGAAAACCTTCCCTATGACACAATAAAATTATTTTAAACAGTATCTCTAGATTATTATTTCATTTAGTATCTTTTTTTTTTTTCAAGACAGTTTCTCTGTATAGCCTTGGCTTTTAGGAACTCGCTCCATTGACCAAGCTGTTCTCAAACTCAGAGATCCACCCGCCTCTGCGTCTTGAGTGCTGGGATTAAAGAGGCATATGCCAATACTGCCTGGCCTGGATTCATTTAGTGTAATTTTTTTAAATGGAATTTTGTTGTCTGACTGTGAAAACAAATATGATCACCATTAAAGAGAAAATCAAGCATGCCCACACTCTTCTATCATCCTAAAGACCAGACCACAGAGAATACTTGGTACACACACGACACACAAGTCAATATCTACTTCTGCTTCTCTTAGTTCTGAGTCTTTTTGCTTTTTATCTTTTTTCAAAATGTATCCTGTTTTTCACTTATAAAATCACAGATCTCTTTTTTTTTTAATTATTTATTATTCATATAGTATTCTGCCTGCATATACACCTGCATGCCAGAAGAGGGCACCAGATCTCACTATAGATGGTTGTGAGCCACCACGTGATTGCTGGGAATTGAACTCGGGACCTTTGGAAGAGCAGCCAGTGCTCTTAATTTCTGAGCCATCTCTCCAGTCCCCACAGATCTCTTTTTAATAGAGCAAATGTAAGTATCACCGACCTTTTAAATTGTTCTTAGTATTTTGCATTTAAGTGAGCAACAATATATTTACTTCTACCGAGATTTTACTTGCTTCTGATTTCTTTTTTACCCTTTCCACAATGTTCTTATGAATACAGTAACAACTCTGGGTTACAAGGAAAGGAAAGAAAAAAATTAGAGTCTAGATGAATGGTTCAACAGCTAGGAGCATGCCTTGCAGAGGACCCGAGTTTGGTTCCCAGTACCCATGTCAAGTGGCTCACAACTGCCTACAACTCTAGCTCCAGAGGATCTGACGCCCTTCTCAGACTTATGTGTACAAACCCATACTCAGACACATATAAATACACATAACTAAAAATAAAATAACAAACTGAGCATGGTGGTACACATCTTTATCCTAGAACTCAGGAAACAGCAGCAGACAAACTTCTGTGAGCTCAAGGCCACCATGGTCTAAATAGGGAATTTGAGGCTAGCCAGAGCTACACAGTAACTGACACATGCGCAGGCACACACACACCAAGAAAAAAATTTTTTAAACTTAAATTGTAATATCTACATATGTACTTAAAACTGTAAGCTGGGCATGGTGCACACCTATAATCCCAGCACTTGGGGAGGCAGCAGGCAGATCTCAGTGAGTTCAAGGCCAGCCTGGTCTATATACTAAGTCTAAGACAGCTAAGACTATACAGAGAAACCCTATCTTGAGAAAATAAACTAAAATAAAACTACAATAAAGAGCCAGATTCTCATCACCCATGTAGAGTATGGAGGCAGGCAACCATAAGCCCAGCACAGTGAAGACAGAGCTATGAGGATCGCTAAAAGGCTTGCTGGACAGTCAATCTAGCCATTTAGTGACTTCCAGGATAAGTGAGAGACTGTCTCAAAAAATAAAGGGGACAACAACTGGCACCCAATGTGAACCTTTGATCTGTACATGCACACATACAAATAGAAACGAGACTCGAGGAAACTTAATTTGTACAGCAGTTACCTTGGGCTCATGTCCCAGACTACAGGAGTGGAGATGGAATTAAAGAACAAGAACATTCCAGCTCATTTGGAACAAGCTCATTCCTAAGTCATCACTTAATCAACACCTGACCCCCATAGTTGTGGCTGGCCTGGAACTCTTTATATAGAGCAAGCTGGCCTAGAACTCAGATTTTTGTCTGAGTCTGCTCCCTGAGTGCTGGGACCTAGTATAAGCTGCTCTGTGAAGCTTTCCTGTCTAGATGTATAAAAGAAAAAAGAATACATTAATAGCTACAAGTTTCAAGATGACAGAATCATGGTCAATGCAGGACAGGATATTATATTTGCTCATTGTTCACAACCTCATTCATTCATTCATTTAATATTTACTAGGAGTTTGAGATATGTGAGACCCTGAGTAAGGATAAAAGATTAATCTGAGTATAAAAAAACTTTTAGCATTGTTTGAAATAGAGTGTTCACAATAGGCATGGAAGTATGTATCAGTAGAACCTTATAAGGCTACTAATTCAAAAGCTTCTCAGTACTAAGTGCCACTTCTGAAACTAAACATTCCAATTCTTTTGCTTATGACTCTAATAACAATGTTTCTTCTTCTTAAAAGTAAATTAGCAATCAATTTTGCATTCCTTGCAAAGGTTTTCCATACTGGTTTAAGCAGTGATACTCACGTCCTCTAGCAGAGACACAGGAGGACTGAAGGCTCCTATCAGGGTCTGCTGTAGAAATGCATCCCAATCAGATACTTTATCTTTGATGCCTAAATGAGAGAAAACATGGTTATTACTTGTGTTAGCCATAGAACACAAAGAAACTTGACATATAGAAATGGCTTAAGACTAGAGTGGTGGAACACACCTGTTACCCCAGCACTCAGAGAGGCAGAGGCAAGCAGATCTCTGTGAGCTCAAGGTCAGCCTGGTCTACAAAGTGAGTCCAGGACAGCTAAGGCTACAAAGAGAAACCCTGACTGGGGAGGGGGGGGTGTATATTTATCATTTAAAAATGAGTGTATTGCTTCTTTGAGAGCTTGAATAAATTAAACAAAATACCTCTAAACTTGCCTACCCTATTCTCTACATAGCCATATTCTGGCTAGTTTTTTGTTTGCTTGTTTGTTTGTTTGTTTGTTTGTTTGTTTGTTTTTGCCTTGATACAAGCTAGGGTCTTCTGGGAAGAAGAAACTTCAACTGAGAAAATGTTCCCATCACACTGGCCTATACAGTCTGGCAAGGGGAAGGTAAAAATATTCCAGAAGTGAATTATATTCTTCCACAAAGAGGTACGTAAGGTCTGGCTATCCATCCTTCTGTGACATTAATAGCTCTTTAAAAATTATGTGTGTCATGCGTGTATGATATAACTGTGTTTACAATCACTGTGAGCATACACAGGAGTCCAACAGAGAATGCCAGGCATTCCTGTATCGTTTTCAACTTGTTCCACTGAGAATAACTCATATTCTTGTTGTCTTACTTATAGCTCTTCTTAAGCTAACCAGAGAGCAGCTCTCTTAGCTTGGCTCCTATTGCTTTTTCTCGAGTGGGCCAGCCCTGCGGGTGCTACCCTCCTTGCTCTCCGCTGTACAAGTGTTACAGGCGCACACAGCCACTGTGAGGGTGCTGGACTCTACGCTCAGGCCCCTCGGGTTTGCAGAGCAAGAGCTCTTACCCACCGGGCCGTCTTCACGGCCTCAAACAGCCTTTAATTGTCACTATCATTGTTCATCAATTAATCAAAATGTTTCCTTAAAGAAAAACTATTTGATGAACCTGAAGTAAAATTTATGAAATCAGGCTATATTGATGATTCTTTTATTCTTCCTCCATATTTCCTTTTAAAATAGTCAGCCATCAATAAAGTTTTTGTTTACACATTTTACTATGAAGTCATACACAAATGACTTCATATGGTTGCAGCCCCTGAAGCTATTGTCCTTATTAATGCCCAAACTGTCTCTTTGGTCAGAGGATGTCTCTTGAGGTTGGTTCCTGAGTCCTTGTGTTATAACGTGACAGTATGGCAAGAGAGTTCTGGCTCATTTGCATATTCCCTAGCCCGAACCAGAACCAGCTGCTTCTCTAAGGAACTGCAATTTGTTTCAGTAAAAATAGTATTTATTTAAAGTCAGATGTGGTAGCTCACAAATGTAATTCCAGCAACGGAGAGGTGCAGGCAGAAGAATCGAGTTCAAGATCATCTTTGGTTATACAGTGAGTTTTAGGCTAGCCTGGGCTACATGAGACCCAGCCTCAAACAATAACAACAAAAATGGTAATTAAAGATACTAAGTGAGTGCAGCTGCCACTGGGTTGTTTCTAGGCCTTTTCAGTGTCTAGAACTAAAAGAATCTCATTTGCTGCTTCTTTAAAAGATCATACATGTACCTACCTTCTTCTATATGAACTGTATTTCTTTTTATCAGGCCAAATATATTAGTTTTTAATTAGGCATTATTATTTTGCTTTATTTAAAAGTATACCAATAACTATTTCAATACCATCAGTTCTACAACCAACACTATGACCACTGAAACAAAAGGTTTTTGTTTGGGTCCCTAAATACACTCCTACTAGGAATGGACATGCAAATCACATATTACAGTCATTGAAAAAATTTTGTGGCTACCCATCAAGCTCTGTCTACACACACAAAGTTTTATTTTGCTTTGTGAGAGAGTTGCTTTTTAAATTTCAATTTTGTTTCATAGTTACATTCAGAAAATTTCTCATCATTTTACCAAACTCCTTTCAGGTAACTTTTCTATATTATTTCATTTATTTCTAAGAATAAATAAATATATACACAAACACATTCATATGCTTATAGTCTCTATTCATTTTCTTCCTTTCTGGTTTTTAAATTTGTCTATGCTGACCTCTGAGGGCACCAGGCACACTCTCATACACAATAAAAATTACAACAAAAACAAAAGACATACAAAACTCCACTCATACACATAAAATTTTAAAAATAAAAACACCAAAATTGTGAGTTTATACCACTATTCAGATGCTCCCCTCTACTGCTGCCTATTTGCTTTTTAGCAATAACACTCTATCTACATTGTATTCTTATATGTACCAGGTATCTCTTTATAATAATAAAAATCATTCATTTGGTTTCCTAAATCCTCTTTTTTTTTTTTTTCTTTTTTAGAGACAGGGTTTTTCTGTGTTACCTTGGCTGTCCTGGAACTCGCTATGTAGACCAGGCTGGCCTCAAACTCAAAGAGATCTACCTGCCTCTGCCTTCTGAGTGTTGGGATAAAAAGCGTGAACCACCACGGCCTGGCTTGGACATGGCAAGAGAAAGCAACATGCAGCTCAGAGCTTTCTCTTTTTTCTAAAAATGTTAGCATGATTAGTCAAAGTAAAAAAAAATCTGAAGATTAAATAATAGCACTTTACCAGACTGACTTTTCTGACTTTGGTATTTTACTGTTCTGCTCATGAATGTATTTTTAGAAATACATTACAGTTTCTATGAGTAAAAAGCGCAACATGACTAAAACTAATTCTCAAACAGTTCTTTAAAAGAAGACTATGGGGATAGGGAGAAAGGATGAAACAAATGTGGTAAAACATCAACAACTGGTAAAATATCAGTCATCAGAGTATTTTTATACAATTCTTATAAATTTCATGTAAATCTGAAACTAAATTAAAATAAAAAGTTATAAAAAGTCCTAAGGTTTCTTGAATCCACAATCCCTCTTCCTTTCTCTACCTTTATCTTTTCCTTTTACATTTTTTTTTTAATTTAAGTAAAATTTTTTACATTTACTTACTTTAAATACTGGATGCTTTTATCTATGTATATGTTTGTGTACCACATGCATTCCTGGTGTCCACAGACATTAGAAGAGAGCACCAGATTCCTGGGTATTGTAGTTTTGAGCTACCATCTGTGTCTTCTTCAGTTTCTATGGCCTCTGCTATTAGGAATCTTGCTTGAGTACCCCTCATATCCTCCCAGGAGCCTACCCTGACTTAGGTCTCCAGCTTTTCACAGAAATAAGGCCACCTTCAGTTTCTCTTTACTCTACAGGCCTTCTGTCCTCTTGCCCTCACTCTCCCCAGGTCTCTGATCTCTACTCTCTTAACTCTCTGTGATCCCTTCCTACCTGTTCCCTCTCTTCAACCACTACCTCTGTCTAGGCCATATCCCCTTCCAAGTGAGATTTACGCATCCTCCCTTGGCTCATTTATGTTACTCATCTTTTGGTCTGCACCTACAAGATGTGCAGGGATAAAGACAGAGCAGACAGAGCAGAGACTGAGGGAATGCCCAAGCAAGGACTGGTCCAACCAAAGACCTACCCTATCCGAGAGTGCCAACCCCTGGCACTATGAATGATACTCTGCTACACTAGCAGACAGGAGCCCAACAGAGTTGTCCTCTGAGAGGTGCTACCCAGCAATGAGGCAAAACAGATGTCAAGGTTCACAGCCAAACTTTGGGCAATTCATAGGGAGTCTTGTGGAAAAGTGAAAGGAAAGAGAAAAGGACCTGGAGGTGACAGGAACTCCATTAAGACCAACACAGCCAACTAACCATGACCCAGGGGGGGTTGCTGAGACTGAAGCATCAACCAAGGACTATGCATGAACTGGACCTAGGCCCCTTACAAAGACGTAGTGCATGAGCAGCTTAGGCCTCATGCGAGTCCTCTACAGACTCAGTTGACAGCCTTTTGATCATTTTCCCCTGGCGTGATTGCCTTGCCAGGTCATAGGGGAAGAGGGCACACTCAGTCCTGATGCAACTTGATGATGAGTTGGAGAGAATGGGAAAGGAAGCTCCCCTTTTGGGGAAAGGGAAAAGGGAGGGATTAGGGAGAGAGAGTAGACTGGAGGGAGAGGAGGGATGGGGCTTCAACAAGGATGTAAAATGAATAAAAAATACTTATAAATAAAGAATAAATGAATTATGCTGAATTAAAGAAAAGAAGAAGTTCAAGGTCACTCATGGCTATACAGCAAATTAAAGGCCAACTAGAGCTATGACAGACAATGTCTCAAAAAATAAATAATAACTAAAATAAGAGGCTGGAGAGATTGCTTAGCAGTTAAGAGCACTGACTGTTCTTCCTGAGAATCCAGATTCAATTTCCAGCACCCACACAGCAGCTCACAACCAGCTCTAACTCCAGTCCCAGAGGAACCAACACCCTCTTCTGGCCTTCTCTGATTATAATAGAACAAGGTCCTGCTTTCTGGAAGAGCTGGCCTCTGAGGACCCAAGACTGGGCCTCTTGGCACAACCCCTCACCAAATCAGAGACGAAGACTAATAAGGAGCTATGAAAGGCATGACCAAACAAAAACCAGCAGAGTACTGGGTCTGACAGAACATGTCTATAAGCCCAGCTACTTTAGGAAGGAGAAGCAAGAGGATAGCAGGTTGAAAGCCAGCCTCGGCTAGACAGTAATGAAAGCATAGCTTGGTCAACTCAGCCATATCCTGTCTCAAAATAAAGAAGTTTTTAATAGGGGGAAGAGGCTGGAGAAATGGCTCAGCAGTTAAACACAGAGTTTGATTCACAGCATTTTCATGGCAGCTCTCAAAACTGTCTATAATTTCAGTTATAGACAGGAGATCTGAGACCCCCTTCTAGTACACACATATGCACTCACACTTAACACACACAGTAAAACAAGATAAATCATGGATAATATGATTTCATTTTAAAAACAAGGAAATATGCATTACTCCCTACGAAACTTTTCATTCAAAATGTTAGCATAAAAAGCTTCATAAATCTATGTGAGAGTAGACTGAAAAACTTAAGATCATGACCAATCTAAATTTTCTTACAGCAATCTTCTAGCACACCTTGAAAAGAAGTATTTCACTACCTTCTGGAGCTTCAAGGGTCTTCTTATTCTGCCGACACCACCCAATGGGATAGAGGCCAGTTTTCCTGATATCACACCAGAAGTCTGCTTTCCGGTCTTCCCCATAGCCTTCGTAACGGAGCAGGAGCAGCTGCTCACAGGCAGTGATGACGGTGGCAACCCAGTAAGTTTCAGGGTCTATTTTCACAGCTACCTCTAGCTTCATCCCAGGAGCAAATCCATTTTGCAAGCGTATGTCCACCTAAAGACAGAAATGTTATTAGGCAACAGATAAACATATTACATGAGTGTTTCTCCGCCCCAAATTCTTTTTAAAGACCTAACATTTCTGAAGCACTAAATTGTAACTCATTGAAGTGGTCTACGAAAAAAAAAAAAAATAGAAGTAGCTACAGGCCTTTGTCCCACATGACAGTAATGAAACTTGGTATTTTTAACAACATAGTCTATTATGATCATAGTGTCTTCTAGAAAGCATATACATTACTAAACATTCACATTTTCATAACTTTCAACATGGCTTCAAGTGACATCTATACCATTCAACAACAACAATTTAGGAAGCCATAATAGGGAAATGACAAAAGCCATAGAGGTAATAAATCAGTAGTGTTATGAATAGTATGTGCTACACTTCCAGTGTCACAGTCTATGCTTCTGTCAGCTACTCTAATAAAGTGCTCCAACGTAGAGGAAAAGTTACATGGTGACAAAGATATAGATTAGCAATTCAAAAGTACATTAAATTAAGTATATGAACACACTATGGATAATAACAGCCTCTGTGGAAGAAGCTACGAATAAAAGAGGGAGGAGAGATTAAAGTGAACCTTGTCATTCTGAAGTGGAAACAGGAGTATCTAAATAAAAATACAGTATTGGTAAGAAAGCAGTATAGACATGGATATAGGTATATTTATTAACTCTGAACTCAGAGGACCACAGATATAGAAGTAAACTTATCACTGTCCAAATCTTCATTTTTACATAACATATTCCAATAAACAAGAACAGGCAATCATGGAGAAACTAATGGTTACAATTCTGAAAAAATAAAAATAAGATAGGATCCTGAAATATCTTGTGATAATAAACAGAAATATTTAAAAAAAAAATGAACACATGTCAAAAGGAAACAAAAGGCTCTTCTATGGTGACAGTGGCAAACCAAAAGATAAATGCAGAAAAAAAAATGATGGAAAAATATGAGCAGGTGATTTCCAAGTAGGCCCAGAACTCAAGACACTGAGGCAGGACCATGATGAGCTCTAAGCCTGCCTGGACTACATTGAAACCTTACCACAAAAAAAAAAAAAAAAAAAAAAAAAAACAAGAGAAATGAACACAATTGTCATTAGACAAGCATCATATTAATAAGCATGGCAAGCAAGAATTATTGTCAGATACTAAAACTACTTAGATAGAAAACATATTTGCATAATCTCAAAGGATCGCTCTATAGGATTTTATCAACTGCCAAAGGCAAAACAGTAACACTGCAATGAAGAAAACTGACAGACAGCACTTTAAACTGATCAAAGTTAATATAACTCCTGTATCATCAATAATGGAATTATATGCGCTTGTCGACACCATACCAAAAAAAAAAAAAAAAAAGAACTTTATTTTCTTTGGCATGCTTGCCATATCTGCATTTACTTAATTGGGGTTGGGGGTCCCGAATTGAGAAATCCTGCACAAAATAAGTGATAGGTAATATACATCCTTCAAGAGTCAAGTTCATGAAAGAAGAATGATGACAAGAGGAGACTCTGGATGTGACAGATAAAGTAAATAAAGGGGATGAGGAGAGATAAAGTACCTGCTCCCAGCCTTGAGTGTCTTGAGTTCAACCCTTGGGAGAACTCCTGCAAGTTGCTTTCCAACCTCCAGACATGCACTGTGGCACACCAACACATATTTATACTCACACAGATTAAGTAAAGATGTAATAAAAGTTAAAAGAACAAATGGAAATGTAGTCAAAATCACTGGAAAATGAGAGTGAAGTCCTTAAATGAGCCAAAAGCAAAGTCTCATGTTCTTTCTTTTTAAATAAATACATAGTTTTCTTAAAATAAAAACTTGACAATATAGAGTGAAATTAACATTTAAAAGTTTTTTCTCAGAAATCTATCTCATGCCCAAGACGACCTTACACTCTAGGACAGGTCTAAACAATACCAAGAACTCATGGATCTCATGATTTAAGACAGAGCATGTTGACCATCAGTTACTTCTGAAAATTCTGTTTTAGATTTTCAAGGGAACTAGTATCCCAATATGCAGATAATTTCCTGAGACCAGGGCTTTGGAAATCATTCAACACTTAAACAGACTCAATTAAATTTGTGCTGCCCATGACTTAATCTTGCCAGAAAAAAATTTCAGAGTTTAAAGTTCAAACAGTAAGGAAGCAGCGCTTCTACCCTACGAGCACAGCACCACCCCTTCCTATCCCAGAATGCTCCCTTAGCTCCCTGCACTGCTTCAGCCAGGGCTCTGCCTGACAAAATGACACTATAACCATATCACTGGAGCAAGACTGTACTGTTTTAAGAATTAGTACCGCTGATACTGACTGGTCTGCCTCTGTCTACTCTGCGGTAAAACAGTAAGAGCCTTCCTTCCAAGGAGTCTTCATCTCCCATGTGGCCACCTTGGTTGCCCTTTGAGAACACTCAGCTCAGGCAGACAAGCACCTTAGCTGGAGGGCTGGGGTCTTTAATTACAGCTAGTAGGCAGTCTCAGTCCTCATTTTCAGTGCCAACAAAATCTTGTGAAAAATAAAAGAATCTGAATAGAGAACCACAGATTACCATTTCCCTAATCAGCCCTAAATTTAAAAATAATCCTTCCCATGCCAGGTGGGGTAGCACACGCCGTTATACCTAGCACTTGGGAGGCAGAGGCAGGAGTTTGAGGCCAACCTGGTTAGTACAAAGTACAGCCAGGGAAATTACACAGAGAAACCACTCTATCTTGAAAAACAAAAAGCAAACAAAAATTCTACTCAATCTTCCTTTCTCCACATCCCATTCTTCCCATCCCCAGTTAGGAAGATTTGAGAACCACTGGCCTAAAAATCAACTGCAAATCAAAGTTTATACAAATGTAATTGAAGGAAGGGACCAGGAGGTCAGGTTCCATTCCAAGTAGCAGTAGAACTTGGAAGGATCTGCCACATAGTTCTGGTTTTAGAATCAAGAATAAAGGAGAAAAGGGGTCATGTAAACACCATCCCCCAAAGGTTAAGGAAAGCCACTAAGGCCAGGTTATGGCAGGCCCAGAGAGAGCAGTACCATCAAGCTGTGAAAGTGAAGCCTGTGTTGAAGACCCCAAGATGTTGGAGATGCCAGAACCATGGACTATCTGCCAAAGAGAGCTGCGAACAGAAATACCAGCCCAAGAGAGGAGTGTTAAAGTCAGCAAAGCTAGAAGGACAAAGGCTATCTAGGCTCTTTAACATCAGACATAGAACTATAGGATCTAGAATTTGTCCTGCTAGGTTTTGGACTTGCTTAGCCTTGTATTTCCTCACTTATGCCCCCTTTCCTCTTTTTTGGAATGGTAATATATATTCCTTGTCAGTATACATTAGAAGTATGACATTTGCTTTTTGATTTTTATTAATTTACAATGAAGAGATTTCCTTGAGTCTCAGAAGAGACTTTGAACTTTTAAACAGTCTTGATACCAAAGACTATGAGGACTTCTGAAGTTGGGCTAAATGCATTTTGCATTATGGTATGGCTATTGGCCTATGGGGGTCAGAGCGGGGAATATGGTGATTTGAATGAGAATGGCCCCCAAAGGCTCATACTTGAATGCTTAGACACCAGTTGGTTTGCAAAAGATGAGGACGTGTGACCTTGCTGGAGAAGGTGTGTCACGTGGGTGGGCTCTGAGGTTTCAAGAACCCACAGCATTGCGGTTAGCTCTCTCTCTGCCTTGTGGTTATCCTCCCAACATGTGAGTTTGCAACCTGCTTGCATGTCGCCAACCACTGACCTCTCAAACAGTAAGTCCCCAACAAATTATTTCTTCTGTAAACTGATTTGGTCATGGTGCTTTGTCACAGCAGTAGAAAAAAATTCTAAGGCAAAATACAAAGATTAAAAGAAAAGGGGTAAGCCAGACATGGTGGCACACATCTTTATTCCCAGCACTAGAGAAAGCAGGTAATCTCTCTAAACATGGAGCAAGTTCCAAGACAGCCAGGGTTACACAGTGAGACCCTGTCTCAAGAGGAAAAAAGAAAAAGGAGGAAAGAAAAGTCAAGGGTTATTGCTCACATGTCTAAATGATGCATAGGGAACAGTGGTGGACCCTGTCTCTTCCAAATAGTCTTCCCAGCTGAACTCTACTTCTTCCACACCAGACCCAAGATCTGAAAAAGAAAACAGGGCAACAAAGTAGCATCTCCAAGTAAACTCAAAGGCATATAAACAAACTTCCTGTAAAACAAATTGATTTTATACACAAAAAAAATTAAGCAATTTTTGTTTAATGGCAGGTTCCCTAAGTCAGTTCAATTCAACATAACAGTCATTTGAAACAGTCTCTGTTGCTGGATGTGGTGGTTTGAATAAGAATAGACCCCATAGGCTCATATATTTGGATGTTTGGTCGTTAGAGCATGGCACTATTTGATAGTGATTAGGAGGTTGGAATAAGTCTGGCCTTCTTGGAGAAAGCGTGTCACCAGGGATGAGCTTCTAGGTTTCAAAAACACAAACCAGACTTAATAAAGTCAGACATCTGGGAGACCTGCCCATCCAGATATAGAACTCTCAGCTCCCTCTCCAGTCCCATGTCCGCCTGCTCCCCACCTTGTTTGCCACTAGGAGGATAATGGACTAAACCTCTCTAAGTGTATGCCAGTCCAGTTTCACTGTTTTTCTTTAGAAGAGCTGTTGTGGTCATGGTTATCTCTTCACAGCAATAGAACACTGACACTGGGGACAGGGAGGACTAAATCTAAAGTTTACACAATGGATCATGTAAAACCAGTGAGACTATGAAGCTATTCGTAGTACTTTGAACTCAAATATATAGTACCTGTTGTCTATTCTCCCTGACTCAGGCAGCGGGGACAGATTTCCTTGCCCTGGACTCCCTTTGTAAACTTTGTAAATCCTCAGGCAGGAAAGCAGCCAGATCCCAGGCTGAGGAGCTCTAGCAGCCAGGCCCCACCCCCAGACCTCTCTGACTTTAGTAACTGCAGCAACATTCCAGCCCCTCAATAGGACACCCCCCCCCCAGGTTATGCTAATTTTAGGTGAAAAGTCTAAAAAACAAGCCACCAACCCCTGAGAAGGAAAACCCATTGTGTAAAAGTACAATTTCTGTATCCATTCCTCCGTTGAGGGACATTACAAATCAAAACGACCCTGAGATTTGACCTTACAGCCATCAGAATGGCTAAGATCAAAAACTCAAGTGACAACACAAAATGGAGAGGTTGTGGAGAAAGGGGAACCCTTCTCCGTTGCTGGTGGGAATGTAAACCTGTACAACCACTATGGAAATCATCTGGAGCTTTCTTAGATAATTAGGTATGGTGCTTCCCCAAGATCCAGCTATACCACTCCTAGGCATATGTCTAAAATATGCTCAAGTGTACAGCAAGGACATTTGCTCAACCATGTTCGTAGCAGCTTTATTCATAATAGCCAGAACCTGGAAACAACCTAGATGGAAGGGAAGGAGGAAGGAACAACCCCATCAGTAGACTCAGAGAGGGGCAGGAAGGAGATGAGGGAGAGAGGGTGGGATTGGGAAGAAATGAGGAAGGGAGGGTGGGATAGGGAGGGAATGAGGGAGGGGGCTACAGCTGGGATACAAAATGAATTAACTGTGACTAATATAAAAAAATTAAAAATTAATTAAAAAGAAAGAAAGAAAAACCCAGGCTTCCCCAGGCTCAAACTTGAAATCCCACCAATTCTCACCCTGGAAATCTCTGCCCTAGAAAACTCTACACCCTAAGAAAGCCTATATAAAGGCTGCATCTGTTCAGTTCTCTGCCATCCTCTCCATGGAGCAGGGGCAGCCAACCCTGGATTTGTCCCCTACATCCTGGACCCTCCCAATAAATCTCTTTTATGAGATTTGCTGTCTGGTGTGACTCATTGGAAGAAGCTAAACTATAATGAGAAGAAGGGAAGAAACAAAGTAGAGCAGGGCTGAGGCTCCTGAGGTCCTCGGCTCACCCAGGGATATTCCCCAGCCACCTCATGTGATTCCTGGGCTCCAGGGTCTCAGGATGCCCTTGCACTGGAATACTTCAGAGCTCTGCGGTTCCTGTGTGCCTGTGTCTCAGGATACCCTTCATTGGAATACCGTGTGCCATCAGAGCTGTGTGGTTCCTGGGCTTCCAAGTCCCAGGACACCCTCCTATCCGAGCAGGAAGGTCAACAGTATCTAACACCAACATGTAGGATTCTTAATAGACATCTCAAATTTATACTGCGATTTTGATTCTGAGTATTCTGCAACTGAGTAAAAATATTACTAGCCATGCTTACTTCAGCAGCCCATGCACTAAATTGGACTGATAAAGAGAAGATTAGCATGGCCTCTGCAAAGGATGACACACAAATTGGTGAGGCATTCAAAAACAAAGAATGAATGAAAAAGGAAGAAGGAAGGAAGGAGGGAGGGAAGGAGGGAGGGAGGGAAGGAGAGAGGGAGGGAGGGAGGGAGGGAAGGAAGGAAGAAAGGAAGGAAGGAAGGAAGGAAAGAAGGTAGTTCTATCCAATATTTTCACTCAATCCAAAAAGTGTGAACTTAATTTTTGATGCCCTTCCCTTTTTATTCAGCCTTATATACAACTCAATGAAGCATATCCTAAATATATTTCTCATGATATCCACTACTGTCTCTAGAGCAAAGCCTATTCATATATCTTTTACCTCTCACTCATATAAAGCTGCAAAGGCTCTACAGGATCTGACCTACCCTTCCACTTTTTATGAACCAGGTCACAACTCCCTGTAAATTCAGCTCTAGGAAACCTGATGCCCTCTGGCCTCTGTGGGCATTGCATTCACATAGACAAATTCATATACATAATTTAAACCTCTTTTAAAAAGTGGAGCTGGAAGCTTCCTCCTTGCTGACTAGTTTTGCGTAACTAGGAGGTGCAATGTAGGATGTTGAAGTTATCAACACTTTTACTCAGCCATGGATCCAACAGGTTTCAATACCAACTATTGTATAAGATGTGCTCACTGGTGCACTAGTGGCATGAATATTGTGGGGAAATAGATTACTTTCTGCTTGAATATGAAACCTGTTTCACATGAAGAAAATTTATAACTGGTAAATCTGATCAAAAGCCCATGCCTGGAGAGGTCAGAGGCCCTAGTGAGAAAATCTCCCAGTTGTTTTGCTAAATGAATATACTATGTCCATTAAATCACCTTATAAACATATTTCTTTGTGCACAAACTATCAGCTTTGGTCAAAAGCCTATTTTTGCCATCTGAGATTCATAAGTGGTCCAAGTGCTGAGAATAAATAAATAAATGCTCAAGCATAAATGAGGCACAGTATTACTCACTCTGTGAGGGTCAGAGAACATGGTAAAAAAGAGGGAATACAAGAGCCAGAAGAACAGATGGAATGCTGTGGAAAGTGACATAGTCATTGCATTCATGAATTCACAGTGGCTGTGAGTACACATGTAAGAACTACACAAGCCTGGGCCTATCAACATTCCATAACAGAGGAGAGAGGAAACCAGTAGCCTGTACTTTTCTCTGAGGATCTATAAAGATAGTGGTTGCCAGGGGAGGAAGAGACATTTTTTTCAGTGGTGTAACCAATGGCAAATGCCCAAGATACTGTAAATAATTTTTCACCACTGCTCTTATAAGCTAATTAGACTCACTGGATCACCAAAAAGAAAAAGGCATGAAAAGTAAACAAGGCAGTTGAGAAGAGAAAGGACATAGTAGAGTGTTAATAGGGGAGGAATATAACCAAAATATAGTACACAGCTGTATGAGAATCATCTTATTGAAATAAGACCTACTGCTATGTATAATTAATAGACATGAATTAAGAAAAAATATAAAATGGTATGGCCACTCTGGATAACAGTACGGGTTTTATCAGTATGCTTACCACTTTTAAAGTGCACTCCTGACTGCAGAATGCCCAACCCCAAATGAAACATCTATATCACACAACCTCCTCCCCAAGGCTCAGAGACCATGAAATTGTGATTGCAACAAGGGTAAAACCTGTACAAAACCAAGCTGGCCAAAATCCCAACACAGGTGCAGGAAGGGCTCACAAATACCATCATCAGCTAAAGAGCTACTGGAAATGAATGGCTGCTGGAAAAGGAAAGTCAGTTCTCTTTGGATGTAGCCCTTGATAGGTTGCCCATGTTCTAACAGATGGCCCTGTTCCCATGCACATACAGGCAGCACTAAGTGGACCCACTGGATTTTTTAATAGTACACGAAGTTAATTGGGAACAGTGGTTACGGTCTTTGGAAGGGTTGGAGGAGAGGAGAGAATGGATTTGACCGAAACACTATATAAAATTCTCAAATGTAAATTAAAACAAATTTAAAAATGAACTCATTGGCATTTTTCCTCCCAAAAATAGATTACTGTAGCCAAAACTATTGACAGCAACTTATTTGCAACAGCTAAAAATTAGAAAAATCGAAATGTATGAAAAGATGAGTAGTTGATACAAGTGCAATACATTCTGAAATGTGACTCACAATACAAGGTAACAAACTGTGGCTGGCAAGATGGCTCAGCAAGTAAAGGCACTTGCTGTCAAGTCTGATAACCTAAATTCAATTGTTAGGGCTCACACGGGAAAAGAAAAGAAACAATTCTCCCAAGCTGTCCTTTCATCTCTACACAAATACACACACATACAATTTTTTTCCTTTTATTTAATCACTTTATAGCCTGATCCTAGTTCCCTCCCAGTCCCGCCCTCACACCTCCCTCTCTTTCTTCTAAAAGAAGGGGAGGGCTCTCAGGGCACCAACCCACCCTGGCCCCTCAAGTCACAGCAGGACTAAGTGCATCTACTCCCACTGAGGCCAGACAAGGCAACCCAGGGGGAAAGGGATCCAAAGGCAGGCAACACAGTCAGAGACAGCCCCTACTCCCGTTGTTAGGGGACCCACAAGATGACCAAGCTCCACTTCTACATATGTGTAGGTCCAGCCCACACATGCTCTTTGGTTGGTGGTTCAGTCTCTGTGAGGCCCATGGGTCTAGGTTGGTTGACTCTGTAGGTCTTCTTGTGGTGTCCTTGACCCCTCCAGCTCCCTCACTCCTTCCTCCCACTTTTCCACAAAACTCCCCCAGCTCAGCTTATTGTTTGACTGCATACATATACAAATTAATCACTTTTTTAAAAAGTAACAAATTTTTACATACAAGACTGTCAACTCATCTCAAGATTATTATTTTAGGGAAAAACTCAAATGGTCCACATATTAATTTTATTCATGAGACATTCTTTAAATGACAAAATTATGGAAATAGCACATGAATAATTGCCTCCAATTAAAAACTATTGTAAGAAAGAGAAATAGGACGCTCTTCATGGTAACAGAAGAGTATGTATCTTGACTACGGTGATACTTATACGCAACCTACACATACGACAAAAATAACACAGAACTAAGCACTTTACGCTGATTTTTGTATGTTGTTTATACAATTTTTATTTAATATTTGTATTGTATGTTATAGTTACATGAGATAAGAGAAAATGAGTGATAGGGAATATGGAAGCTGTGATACTTTCTTTGCAACTTCCTATGAATTTGTAAAATACTTTATAACAATTATAATGTAATCTTAAAAATCCAGCTATTTAGAAAACAAGGGCTGTTCCTAAAAACTTATTTTCAGCAAACAGTAGTTGTAGTCCCTAGTGCCACATTATCAAACCCAAGAGATAGCAATGAAAAATGTAATACTTCAAGGGACTTCCAGTATAGTGATAGAAAAGACAAGTCAGAGAAATCCTGGCAAAAATAAGCTACATCTGCATCTGGAGAATAGATTTAGCAGAACCAATACCTGCATCAAGCTGCTGCTCCCCGCTCATCTCCACAGCACATGGGCTATCTCTTCCCAAGTAACGAGTGGTCTGAGGGCTCTGCTTTGATATGAAGATGATCTGAAGTTTCAAGTTTCTGTCCAGTGGGCATCCAACAGTCTAAACAAAAGTGTTAAAAAGTATTTTTAAATAGTTATAAACATGGGGAAAATTCAGATGTATTTACTTTTTTCTAAGACAGCATTTGACTGGGTTGAGGGGTAAGAGAAAAGAAAATCACTTACAGGAAATAGGATTACAGGGGTAGGGGTGACACCTTTTCCGAATTTGAATTTTGTCTAGTGAGTTACAGATATATAAATGTGTGTGTACAAAAAAAAAAAACAAAAACAAACAAAAAAAAAAACCTGTCAAATTCTTGATTTCTAAGGACTACAGTAACTATGAAGACATGGCTCAACAGTTAAGAGCACTGGCTACTGACTATAGGACCCAGGTTTGAGTTCCAGTACCCACATGATGGTTCCCAACTATCTGTAAACTCTAGTTCCAGGGGATTTGGATGCCTTCTAATAACTGTATACTTTGTATCTGTGTGTATAGGTGTGCAGGCCTGAGGTCACTGTAATGTGTCTCACGCTATCACTCACTGCCCTCCCAACCTTCCCTGTTATACCCTCCCACCAAACTTGGTGCTTAATGATTTAGCTACACTGACTTGACCAGAAAGCCCCAGAGATCCTCCTGTTTCCTCCCCTTCAGTGACATGACTATAGATTTGCACTGCGCTTTTTTTTTTTAATCCTCTATGATCAAGCCATCTCCTCATCCCCTATACAACTTTACTTAAGTGACATCCTTTCTTTCTTTCTTTCTTGTGTGTGTGTGTGTGTGTGGTAGTTTATTGAGCCATGAGGGCAAAGAGAAAGAGACAGAGAGGGACAGGGGGAGGGTGTAGGAGAAGAGAGAAAGGGGCATGGGTGGGGTGCTCCAGGAGAGTCAGAGCCATAAGTGACTTTCAGGACACATAAAAATACAGTTCTAAAGCTTTAAAAAAAAAAAAAAAAGAAAAGAAAAGAAACAGTATTTATACTGAAGGAGTCTATGATGGTTTGATTTTTTTTTTTTTTTTTTGTCAACTTGATACAACCTAAAGTCCCCCCCAAAAGAAAGAAGCTCTGATTGAGGAACTGTTTCCATCAGGTGGGCCTGCAGACACAGTGGGCATTTTCTTCACTGATGGCTGATGTTGGAGGGCCCGGCCTACTGTGAGCAGCACCACCCTGTGCAAGTCCTGACTGTGTAAGAAACAAGCTGAGGACGTCACAAGGGACAAGGTTAATAAGCAGCGTTCTTCCAAGGTCGCTACTTCAGCTCCCGCCTTCAGGTTCCCACTGGAATTCCTGCCCTTACTTCCCTCAAGGAAGGACTGTGATTTGGAAGTACAAGCCAAATAAATCCTTTCCCCAATGTGATTTTTGTCGTGGTTTTTACACAGTAACAGGAAAGAAAATTAGGACTAAAACTTCTCTATTAGTTACTTCTGCTGTTATGACAAAACACCATGACCAAGCGACTATAGAAAGGAAAGTTGATTTGGGCTTATGGTCCTGGGGGTAAGAGCTCACCCTGATGAGGAGGCACTGCAGCACGAGGCAGGTGTGGCGGCAGGAGCAGGGAGCTATGTGATCCCTTCAACTAAAAGCAGCAATGGGGGTGGGGCACAACAGAGTAGACAGAGGGACAATGATAAACTGGAAGTGGAGGTGGGGTTACACACTCTCACAGCCCACCCCCAAGACATACTTCTTCAAAAAAGACTACTACCTCCCTCAACAGTGCTACCCACGGGACCATCTGCTCAATTCCTGTGCACTTCCAACATTTGTAAATACTATTTAAAATTAATACTACCTTTCTCTAGAATTATGTGAACCATCAGTTACTTAAGAGAGCTCAAATTTGATCCCAAGCACTTGGGAGGCAGTCAGATGGATTTCTGTGAGTTTGAGGCTAGCCTGGTCAACAGAGTGAGTTCCAAAACAGCTACAGAGAATCCCTGTCTTATGGGGTGTGGGAGGGAAAAAAGAAAGAAAGCGCCATGCACCAATAGCAGTGGTATTAGGAGCTGCCACAGAATTCTTTCTCATTTACTCAATTATTTACTTAGGCATATTAACTGACATACCATATTCTGGATAAACAAATATTCTAGGTTAAAAGAAATAAGAGGGGAAAAAAACTTGCCCTCATTATTCTATAATGCAGTGTAAGTAGATGGTAGATAACCCCTATGATACATTTGATGAAAATAAATGTTACTGGGAAAAGCTAAAAGAGGCAGGGGGCCAGGAAGTGCTACTTTCAACTGGGTGATCAAGGTCTTATTGTGGAGGACATAAATCAACAACTGAGGGGAAGTAAAAAAGAACCAAACGCATACTTGCAGGAACAAAAAGAAGTGCAAAGACCCTGAATCAGGAGCATGTGTGGATGTGAGAGGCCACAGTGGTTAGAAAAGAATGATAAACACTGAGAGAATAGGAGATGATCTCAAGAAGGTTGCAGGGATTCACAAGTAAAAACTTACAGGCATGCTGGCCCCAATGGCACATGCTTTTAATCTCAGCATTTGGGAGGCAGAGGCTGGCAGACCTCTGTGAGTTCAAGGTCAGCCTGGTCTACATAGTGAATTCAAGGACTGCCAGAGCTACATAGTGAGAAAAAGCCTGACAGAGCCGTACACACCTATAATCCCAGGATTTTGGGAGGTAGAGGCTGGAGGATCACTATGAGTTCGAGGCCAGCCTGGTCTACAACTCAAGTGCAGGACAACTAGGACTACACAGAGAAACTATACCTTTAAGGAAAAAAAAAAATTCCCCCACCTCTACCACCAAAAAAAGAACTTACAAGCTGCTATGAAGATTTTGGCTTTGGGGAATACACTGGCGAATTACAAGCAGAAGATAATCTAACCTTTAAAGGAGCCACTCTGAAGCTATGTTGAGCGATGTTGAAAACAGACTATATAAGTAAAAGCAGAAACAGAAAGATCAACTTAAAGATCCTTGAAGAGTCCTGGTGAGAGACTGGTATCTAGGCTGAGAGCAGTGAAAACACTGAGAGGAGTAAAGATGGATGAGAATACATCTTGAACCTAAAACTACTGGAAGGATGGAACTATCAGGAAGATCGGAAATTTTTAAAGAAGAGTGGTTTTGGTAAGGAAAACCATGAACCCCAAAGAAAATTAGGGGAACATGCCTGTCTGCCTTCTAAAGTTTTGTTCTTTCTGCTTTCAGAAAAATGTCAGTTAACAGAAATGTAATTACGTATCTATTTATATGTATAGTATTTTTAGTTTATAAGTTATTTTCCTATGCTATGCTTCACCTAAATATGATAAAGCCCCCTTTTGACAGCAAGATGTCCCAGTGGGTAAAGACTATTGGGCCTGATGACCTGTATCTGACCCCAACCCAGTGCAGATGGCAGAAGAACTGACTCCAGTAAGCTAAATGCGTGCGCTGGTATGTTAGTGTTCGTGTGTGTACTTCCCCCACACACAAATAAATAAATGTAAACATGAAGCGCTGGGAAGATAGTAATAGTGCTGGCCTCGCATGTACAAAGCCCTGGGTTCAATTTCTAGTACTAGAAAAGAGAAAAAAAAGTTCCATCTTTTTTTCTGTGGGATAATTGTCATGACTTTAGGTTGGGCTATTAATAGAAAAACACAATTCAATGTTATTAAAATATGCTGTTATAAATAATAAAAAATAAAGCCCCCCTTTTGTTTTGTTTTTGTTTGGTTGATTGGTTTTTGGTTTTTTGAGACAGGGTTTCTCTGTGTTGCCTTAGCTGTCCTGGACTTGCTTTGTAGACCAGGCTGCCCTTGAACTCACAGAGATCTGCCTGCCTCTGCCTCCCGGGGAGTGCTGGAATTTCAGGTGTATGCAACCTTACCCAGCAAGGGGTTGTTTTGTCTTTTGTTTTTTTCACCTAGACAGCTTTCTTGTCAGCTTCAATCCCACCTTACATTTCAGTTTCTCTAAATGTACTATACTAATCAGACATGAAGATATTCCCCATGCTAATAAGCAATTTATATTAACATTAAACTATATTATTTTTACTTGATGTATATGCGTGTTTTGCTTGCATATATGTCTATGTACCACTTGTGCTCCTGGTACCTGCAGAGGCCAGAAGGCAGCATTGGAGGCCCTGGAACTGGAGTTATGGACATTTGTAAGCTGCCATGGGGGTGCTGGGAATTGATCCTGAGTCCTGGAGAAGTTTGTGCTCTTAACTGCTAAGCCATTTCTGCAATCCTTATGTTAACTTTTTTAAACTTCAGTTTTGACGTAAATTTTCTAATAAAGGTCATTTAATGTCATGTTTTCTAAGCTTTAATACACATTCAAAAACTCTCAGGCATAAATACTATATTAACTACACAATAGTAATATTGGAAAGATCAATTTGTAAGTTCCTGGTTCACAACTATTAAGTATGACCACTTTATGACCGTAGCACGTAATAATTAGTACCTACTTCTACACAGTTATCAAGATTATTAAATTATGATTTTGAAATTTCCTTTCACTGTATCAAAAGATGACATGCATTTTAAAATCATTTCTTTATGCTACTATTTTGTAAGCTAGAGAAATGATAAATCTGTAGAGTTGATATGATATTTTTTCTAAAATAAAGATTTACAGAAGCCAATAACAGTAACATTTGTTGTTGTTTGTTTTGTTTTTTTTAGACATAGTCTCACTGTGTAGCCCTGGCTGGCCTGGCCTGGAAAGCTCTATGTAGACCAGACTGGCCTTGAACTCACAAAGATCCACCTACCTCTGCCTCTGCCTCCCAACTGTTAAGACTAAAGATGTACACCACCAAATCCAACAGATAAGTACATTTTTACGTTAGCATGTCTTGTTCTAATGGAATAAAGAGGACTCTAATTCACCAGGATAAGCATTAGCAAAATGTACCAATTTATTATAAAAGGATTTCAACAGATGGGCTGCTTGGTAACCATTATCAAGAAAAATGGACAGCTGTAGCATTTAAGTGCCCTCAAGTAAACGGGGACAGTTCTCAAAAGTAGTAGTACAAGTGGCCAATAAATGTATTTTAAATTC